TGACATTATTCAATAACCGTGAATTATGTTCTGAAATTTCCGATATATTAAACAAAAACCATGCCCTCAAAAGTCATATATCACATATTTTTTGTAAAAGATGCAAACGAGATAAATTTTATAGAGGGAAAACTATAATTCCCACGTGTATAAAATTTTTGAAAACTTTTTGAAGACGAAAAAATAGTGGTGTATTGTCGAAGACGAATAAATATTGAACAATAAATTGATCTATTTAATTTTTAATTATTGTGCAAAATGAGCTGGTTTTTGGATGCGCCTCTAATCAAAACTAATTTTTTATGCATCTCATACTATTTTAAGTTAACAATGATTGAAAGACTATGATACTAATATTTTAATTTTTAGAGCACTTTTTTATTGGAGCTCATGCATATATACGAACATTGAATGTGAATTTTGAGAAATGGGACTAAGAAGACAAATGATCACGGAAAGTATAGAAATCGTTACAAAATTGAGCCATATTAATTTACTTTTTCTAAAGAATTAAAAATGGAAAGTGTACTAAACCACAAAAGAGATTGGTTGAATCTTCGATGTGCTCAGAGATTCTCCGAGGTCCGCCAATAAAATTGAAAATAACACCTGACACCGTTTTAGAAAGAGGTTCCATAAATTCTTCGAGAACATTTTTTTGATCGAGCGCAGTATAAATGACAAATGATTGTGTATTTAAGAAAGACCCCCACATATAAAATGATAATAATCTTGTGAGCGCCATGATAAACATTGTGAAGGGTCCGATTGGTGGACAGCTGCGTCACAATATATCCACAATGTTCTCAAATATTGGTAAGACGCTTGAAATAAAGACCCGATGACATAATTTTCTTCTATTTAGGAAAAGTGGGTGCATTTTTTTTGTCGAAAATAGAAACAAAATTGAATGGCTGTTTTCTAGTCGGATAGAGTGAATACGAAGAAAACTTGACTTCCGCTATTTCATTTTTTTTTGCCTTCAGACGAATTTTGCCTCTTTTTTCCCGGTTCAAGTGTTTTGAAATAAAAGGAAATGTCGAAAAATCATAGGGGAAAAGGTCCAACAATTTGACGAATCCATGACTTCGGCCCACGGCACGCAACAAATCAAATTTTCGCGGTGTGACCTTTCATTGAAAAGAAATAAGAAGAAAAAGGATGGGGGGAGTAGAAAAAACAATTTTTTTCGAAACTTTACAATAAGATATAAAATACTGGAAAAAAATAAATGGAACCTCATTCTGTCGCTCTTATAATTAGAAGGTTCGGTTGAGAAAAAAATAGTTGTTTGCGTGCTTCTTTTTTTATGGCATCAACAAACAGATAGTGAAACAGATTATTTTGGGCATGGCTTTGCAGTTTTGGCAAACCCCTTGTCTTAAACCCTCAATTTACCAGAGGAACAAAAATATGAAAAGATTCGATGGTCCAGATAAAACGGTTCACAAATGAACATATTCTTTAATTTTTAGCTTTCGAGCATGACCACACCAATTATCTTCAAAGAACATTAATTCATAAGTGTCTATTTCTATATACGAGGAAATGAAAAATTTGATCGGAAAATATGGCCTGCTTTTCAAATGACTTCCTGCAGAATCAAAAACAACTCAATAGGGAAGTAAAATTAGTATACTGTGCTAATCTATAAACGCGGGGGTTACTGACATTGATAATTGGGTGTTTCATCGTTATGATCGAAATAATGTAATTGGGGGGGGGGGTTACTGTAAGCAAAATAATGAGAAACGTCACGCGATGTTCACTATGAGTAGATTAGATTACTGTAATGGGCATGAATGATGATGATAACAATAAAAATACTGTAATATGATAGGGAGAATATGATATCACTAACAATATAAAAATTGCTATAATATTTTTGTAAGGGAAAAATTGTAATAAAATCGTTACTGTGATTAGATTGAAGCAGATAGTGATGAGAAGATCATTCCTTTCATCTGTTGAGTGAAGATTTCATGATTTTGGTAAGTTTTAAAAATTTTATGAAACGGGTCAATAAATGGAAATGATTATGGACTTAACACTGTGGTAACAAACTAAAAATCTAGTAAAAACGAATAAACGAAAAACGCGCGTAAATACTGAGAGACGTTTTTTTAACATTCAATTGAAACCTTAAGCTTTGCCCAAATATAACTAAGACGCTGCTATTATATATATATATATATATATATATATATATATATATATATATATATATGTTTGTGTAAAGACATTTACGGAATCATTATTTAATCACGTTTATTTAATTTTGCGAAAAAATTAAAGACTTTTTGGGCTTGAAATTGGATTATGTTTATTGGACTTCCTATATTCAAAAAAATTAACGCAAAAAAAATGAAATATTTTCAATCCAGTCTATGAAGAAGAAGAAAAACTCGTTAGATGTTGCATATACTTAGAAGCATGCGAAAATTGCAAAATCGTTTGAATACCAAATGAAGAAGACACGCATTTTTGCGAACGTTCAAGCTTTATGCAAACTATGCGTTTTAAAACCCTAAAAATAGAAAAAAGTAATACTGAAAGGTTTCGTTGCAAGTCTTTTTTACGTGATGATTTATAAATTTATAGCGAAACGCTATAATTCCAAAATTATGAGGGATGAAACGGAAGTGGCCTTGGTTGGCCATTAAATACATATCCTAGTGCCCTTCTGTGCAACAAAAAAAATACGAAGAACCCAAATAAATGCATTTTAAAACCGATTAGCCCATTTTACAACCCAGTCTATTTTTATTCAAAGTTTCGGTTTTGAACATCACAGTTGTAAAGTGAAATAGAAATGCTTGACGGCGACAAATTCCGAGGGTAATTAGGCGATGCCGACTTCTCAGTCTTCCGTTGTAGACGATATCACAACGAGCACAGTGTTGTGGAACGCAATTATGCAGTGGCTGACGGCGGCACGAATAAAAAGAAATCAGATTTAAAAAAAATTGCGACATTTCCTCCATTTCTTGCAACTGTCTGGCAAATCCAAAATGATGTCACTAGGACCTCAATGAAAGACGGGCACTGAATAGGAATCTAGAAGCGAAGCGTGTCTCTGGAACATTCTAGAAATCTACACTCATGAAGACATCGATATCGGTTTATAACCTTGACCTTCCATATAACTAGGTTATATCTACTGTTATAACTAATGGTATGTCAATATCGATGCTTTAAAAAAAACAAGCGATTTCCATAGATTTTTTTTCACTTTTGATTCTCAACGTATCAAATTTCTTTTACAATGCTTTGTTTATTTCAAAAAAGACCAAATTTATTCATCATTTTAGGAGAATTTAAAGCAAATTTGAAATAGTTCTATTTAAAGGTAATACATAATTGGGTTATATATACAGGGTGTCATTTAAGTTCCCGCACAAATGTTTGACGCCATGAAGAGATTGACTGTCGCACTTTTTGTGCACCAATACAATTTATTTTTGTTAAATAAGGTGTATTTTACTTATTTCCCAAGTTTCACCTCATTCGGATGTGTTTCCGAGAAATGGCGAAGGCTAACATCCATCGCGCTTCCATTATCGAACTTCATAAGCAAAATGTGAGCCCGAGAGACATCATTCAACGGGTCGGTGTGCTTCGTAGAACGGTTTGCGACACCATCAAACGATTCAAGTAGCTAAATACGACCAGTGTCCGTCCCAGACAAGGAAGACTCGTCTCAGTAACCACTCCTCAGAAGATCAACGCCGTTAAATCGAGGATCAGGCGAAACCCACACAGGAGCATGAGAAAGATGGCGTCAGACATGGGAATGAGCATCTTTGCTATGGAACAAATCGTCAAAACAAAGCTTGTACTGACCCCATATCGTGTCCAAAAAGCGGCAATTCTATCGGCCGTCAACAAGCAGAGACGCTTCGAAAAAGCAAAACGACTTCTTGCTCGCACGCGGTCTGGAGAACACCTCGTCACTGTCTTCTCCGACGAGAAGCTGTTCAGTGTGGAGGCGGCATTCAACTCACAAAACCATTGAGTACTTGGCCAAACATCCCAGCAAGCTTCTGAGAAAGGAAGAACATATCATCCAGCCTCACATCCTGCCAGTGTGATGGCTTTCGGTGCCATCTGCTCAACCGGGAAGTGCTACCTGGTTTTCGTGGATCAGATGGTGAAAATGAACAAAGAAGTCTACGTTCGGGACATTTTGGAGAAGCATGTGATGCCCTGGACCCAAACGCATTTCGGTGGGCAGAAATGGGTCTTTCAACAGGACGGAGCACCCGCATACACTGCCAAAACTACTCAGGAGTGGTGCCAGACCCATTTTCCCGACTTTATCAAGTCATCCGAATGGCCTGATTGCTCCCCAGACCTGAACCCGCTTGACTTTTCCGTGATGGGGTCTTGCAGGAGAAGGTCAACGCAAAACCCAACTCAAGTGTAGAGGCTCTGAAGAAGACATTACTGGCGGAATGGGACAATCTTTCCATCGAATACCTGCGTACCACAGTCACATCCTACCCGAAGCGTCTCCGTGAAGTCATAGCTGCGAAAAGAGGCCGAATCAAAAAGAGTTAATAGATAAATATTTGTTATACTATAGATAAAAAATATTTCGAGTCTCGTTTGATTTGGACTTTTAGTTTCAGAAATGTACGTCTACAAAGTTGTGCGGGAACTTAAATGACACCCTGTAATCTTTCTTGCTATTAATGTTTCATAAGTGAAATTTTTGAATTAGTTATTTATTTTGATGCGTAATTTATACTATTCGTTTATATTGTCGTCATATTATTCACTTTTTGCCACTTGTTGAACAACACCAATAATAATGTGCCAAAACCAGACGAGGCACGCCACATACTTTTAGTGTGCATTATTGCGTAGAGGTATTACGGACACAACTGTTGCCGCATTCTTTTTCTGTCCAATTTTTATGGAACATCAAATTTTATCGATTCTTTTGCAACGTGTTGTCCAATTTTTTATCGATCTAATTTTGATTTCTTATTTCAGGGATGAATATCGACTCAACTGGTGTTAGGCAACGAAAAGGGATAGCAAAATTAGTAGAAGACTTGGACATATTCGATAAAGTCGTGGAAAATGTCAAAGAAGAGCCGAAAGCATCATCAGGATTAAGTAAGTTGCAAATAGTGAATCAAATTTTTCAATGTTTCGAATTGCAGTCACATTCCTCTGCTTCTCGCTTATATTGTTCCTGTTTTGCAGTGAAACATATAGGTTTCTTTTCGTCAAACAATATGATTATCGATTTACCTTGGATACAAATATGGAAGAGTGAGAATCCTTTATTTAATATTCTCAGTACTTTATATGATTATTTCAGCATGCCTACATTGGATTTAGATATGATTGTGGCTACTCCATGCGCAAGCCTTCAAGTTGTTAGTACAATGGATCAATACTCCAATGGACCCTTTGGAGTCTTGCAAAACTCGCTTAATAAAAATCCAACAAGGTAATTTTTTTGTTTAAAAGGAATGAATGTTTGGTTGAATTTCAAAAAAAAATCTTCAAAATTTATTTAAAATACATTTTCAGTATTCAAACAGGATGATATTATGAATTTCAAATAATGTTTCAGGTTCGAATTTACTGATGAGGAGCAGCTTTACTGGACGATTCTTCGTCATGCTCATGCTCAATATAATAAACAAGGATTGAGAGCACTTGAGCAGGTATAAAAAATTTTAAATTGCTCAATTGCCCAACACAACTTTAGTTGGAATATATTGATGATGATGTGGAGAGCACTCTGGAGAATTTGGCGGATAAGAAGCAAGAGCAAGAAAGCGAAATAATAATGCAAAAACGGGAAATGGAATCGAAAAAGGGAAAATCCAAAGAGAATCATGCACAAGTGGTAATCCAAATGATTGCCAAATTTGGATGGCTATATAAATAATTAATTTGCAGATGTTCCTGGTTTCGAACGGAATGGGTATGTTCCAGATTGTCTCCGACAATTCCGACAAGGAAGAAGAAGGTTTGGGTTACTTGACGAAAATTGAATTAATCGCATTTTTTTTTCTTTTATTTGATTTTAGGCACCGCTTGTCGAATTCATGGCAAATTCAAGGTGCGAAAAGGGAAAGAGGAGAAAATTGTGATATCAATCACCAACCCGATGATGATGTTTGATCATTTTGGTCCCCAGCGTAAACGATTTTGATTTGTGACCACATCCATAAATCGCGTTTCGTCATTTTTTCAGCGGGAAACATTTCGCATCGCATCGAGAAATTCAACTTTGGTCCAAGAATTCCGGGACTCGTGACACCACTGGCCGGAGCTGAGCATATATCAGAAAGTGGACAGGACATCTATCGATATTTTATAAAAGTAGTACCGACGAAAATCCACGGATTTTTCTCATATACCATGGCGTATCAGTATTCAGTCACATTTTTGGTAAGCATATTAGTAGAGGGGGCCTAGTTGACCTAGTTTCGTTCATTACGAGATAACTTAATATCCCAAAAGTTTTGAACTGCACATACGGTCATATATTACTTCGATAGATTAAAATCAAATTTTTGAATAAAATAAATTGTTGAGAACGAATTCGTTTTAAAATTCTACATTCTCATTTCTGCTTTAACTGGTCTGTTTTGGTTTATAAAATCAAAACAGTATGAGGCATCATTAAATGGCTCATACTGTTTACGTAAGCTTTACGTAAGCCATGTAAGAGAGTTCCAATCAGTTTTTTCAAATTTGTTAATTTCCGTCGAATAATTCAAAAATCAATATCCGCTATTATGTTTCAACGCATATTTAATTAGGTATATAATCGTATTTTCTTTAACACATAGACGAAATAATGCTACTAATGCTAAGATTACTGATCACTTTTTCTGAATCACTTAGGAAAAAAGATTTTCAAAAAACCACATGTGTTCGGCCAATTCTGTTCTGTTTTTGTTTAAACACCTAGAGGTTATCAATTACATTGAGAGAAAGTGAAAGTCAATCAAAAACCGAAAAGTTACTTGATAGTTCAAATTGTGACTTTCGATCAGTTTCAATTTTCTCTTGGTTCTTTCTTTGCCAATCACATTGATTGCACACCAATCGTTCAAAGACGTCATGCGTTCTCTTCACATTTTTCTTTTCCGGATGTATGTATCAAGTGTCACAGATCTCTTCAACAGCTCGACGAAATTGTTTTCATGTTATTTCAGAAAAAGAAGCTCAAGGACGGCGAGCACTCACATGGAGGTATTCTGTTTGAATATGAATTCAATGCAAATGTCATCGAAGTGCACAAGAACACCATGTATGGGGTTTGGCAAAAGAAAATTGTGTACAAATTATTTTCCAGGCACTTTTTCACGTACCTTGTTCGACTGTGCTCAATCATCGGTGGAGTTTACGCGACTAGTCACATTATAAACAACATGGTTCAATTTTTATTGTCATTCCTCTACCCAGAAGATAAACTTGCTCGAGTCAATCATAATCATGAAACGAGAACTGCCGTCTCAACTGATTCGCACGCTTCTCTTATCATTAATACTGATATTCGGGTACACTGATTGTTCAAATTTAATTCTAGCGCCAAAAAAATCTTCTTTATTGTCTTTTCTTGTCGTTTTAACAAATTTATCGATTTCTCTTTTTTTTTGTGGGCTCGCAAAAGTCTTATATTGTTTTTGTGTTGTTATCTGCCTCTTTATCCCTCGGATCCTTTTTGTGATATATAGTTTATTTTAATCTTGCGGGTTTTTTCCTTTCCATTGCATTTGGGGTCGTAAATTTTTATAAATTATTTTCTAAAATATGTATTTAATTTATCGCTAATTTGTTGTTCTACGATCAATATCCATATTTTTTGTCTTATTTTTTCTAATTCAACTAATTAATGTTTTCAGCATGGCGTCAAACAAGGAAAAAGCACCGGCCACATTTTCGTAAGTACAATAAATAAAATTAGATAGGAATACTTGGTCCCATTTAGGTATGGACCAAAAATCATGAATGGAGGACTGGCGGGCATCATTGGTGTATCTTGCGTATTCCCAATCGATTTGGTCAAGACTAGATTGCAAAATCAAACCATTGGGCCCAATGGTGAAGTTCAATATAAGGGAATGTGAGTTGATTTTTCAATTTTCTTCACTTTGCGAATTATTCATTTTTCAGTTTGGATTGTGCCAAGCAGACATGGAAAGCTGGAGGAAGTACTTCATTTGCTAAGGTTACTTTCAGCTCTTGTGATTCAAGTTCAATATAATTATTTTTAGTTTCGAGGAATGTACAGCGGTTCTGGAGTCAACATTCTTCTCATCACTCCAGAAAAGGCCATCAAACTGGTCGCCAACGATTTTTTCAGACATAAACTCCAAAAGGAGGGCGAGAAGTGAGTTTTGGTTTGCTTTAATGCAATCTCTCATTTATAAATTTCAGAACGCTTTCAACCCCACGCGGTATGTTGGCTGGAGGATTGGCAGGAATGTTCCAAATTATTGTCACAACACCAATGGAGCTTCTGAAAATCCAAATGCAAGATCAAGGACGAACTTTGAGTATTCACATAATTTATTATTAGAAAATGTTATTAATATATTATTTCTAGAGCCTGGACAAAAAAAATTGACCGCTACTGAGCTTACACTCAAATTGGTACGAGAAAATGGAATCGCTGGACTTTACAAGTAAAAATACCGCGGAAAAATCGAAACCAGTATTTTTAAATTTTAGGGGTCTTAGTTCAACCTTTGCTAGAGATGTGACATTCTCAGTCATTTATTTCCCATTGTTCGCCAAACTCGACTCATTGGCTCCACGTAAGGCTGATGGAAGTGGCGACGCTGTATTTTATGGATCGTTCTTGGCTGGATTGACTGCTGGAGCATCATCGTCATTTGCAGTCACCCCGCTAGATGGTAAAAAAAATATGTTGAAACACGTTGTTAAATTAAAAAATCATGTTTCAGTTATCAAAACTAGAATGCAAACGATTAATAAGGGTGCGAATGAGGTTGTGTACAAGAATATACCAGACGCATTTGTGTAAGTCGCTCAAACCTTGAGTAATCACTCTGTCGTTCGTTCGTTTCAGTCAAATTTTGAAGAATGAGGGCCCTCGAGCATTGTTCAAAGGAGCTGCTTGTCGTATGATGGTCATGGCTCCACTTTTCGGAATCGCGCAAACTGTCTACTATATTGGAGTAGCTGAGAAGATTCTCGGCATCGAGAAGACCAAACACGTCTAAAGTTTAGTCAAGCATTTTTTTACACATATTTGAAGTTATTCAAACTACTGGTTCAAAGGTTATTATTTTTAAATCGTCAAACATTTGCCATTGTGAACTATTTGGTCAGTATACTTTATTATATGTATTCGCGTTAGGAATTATGAAATTAGAATTGTTTTGAAAAATAAATAATAATTATGGTAGAAGTCATTGTTCAATATGAATCGCCCAGAGATCGCTTATAGTAAATCCTTCGCGAAGTGGCTCAATGGCTAATCCAAGCTCGGTGCTGACAACAGGAGGTTTCTGCTCCTCCGAACCAGAATAGCCATCAAAGTAAGCCTAAAATATAATTATTGTCACAATTTTCGTACTTTTGAATACCGCAAATGGATCCGGCCGAATGGCATGGCTGTCGATTTCAATGTCATCTTCAGGGAAAGTTTATTTCGCGAAATGAAATCGCCCAAATTCAAAACATGTTTTCGAATGCAACAAGACAACACAAATTGGGGAAAATATGGAGGCACAACAACAAAACTTGTAATAAGGGAAATTTAGACGTTATGACTTCATACAGATTACATTTTAAGATTTCAAGCTCATTAGTTAGTATAAAAAAGTTTCAAGACGAAATTATCTATTGTTTGTAGTATGATTACGGGGGCACTATAAGCTCGCATTTCTTTTATTTTGGCATTCTAATTGGTTGATTCAACGAAGGTAACACCCACACCAACAAAGACAACACGAATTTACAAAATTTAAAATCTTTATTATGAAATTAGTTGTTTCTATTTTCTACCCTTATTTCTAATATTTGTAATTCACGAAATCCGAAAAATGAGACGAAAAAAATTGTAGCGTGGGAAATGCAAACACCGTTGCGCAATAATTACTTAAATTTGAATAGAAATTATACCCCCCCCCCACCCGTCATTTGATTATTTTTTGCAGGTTTTCTTTCTTACGTAACTGAAAATTTTTGAAGATTTTTTTTGGTTCTGCTCGAGCATGAAAGAGTTAGAATTTTTACCGATGTTGCTTCGGACAAATGGCCACGCTACTTCACACACACAACAATTTAGATTTTTTCAGTTCCGTGTTCAATATTCAGTGACTTGCATATTCATGATGTTTTATTAGGCGTGCCTAAAAAAATTTTCTTATTAATTTAAACTTTGAGCTTTAATTTCAAGAGATATTCATCAGCTTCCATCGTGACAAAAGCCGACTTGGATAATTTTTAGTTTTTTTAAAAACAAATTAAATCAAATATTGAAAAATCAAAATAACCGTCTCGAACAAATACCACAGCGGACCTGTATACAATTATATTTCATTTGAATTCATTATTTTTAAGAAACAAAAAAATCGATTGGGAAAACCAAATAATTTATTACCATAGGAAAAACAAATACTTGAAAAATCAACGAAGGTTTGGCAAGAGGAACACGCCGAAAAACAATAATATCTAGACATAATTGAAACTTTTTGGCATCCTAAAGAAAAAAATATAACTCGTTTCTTATGAAAGAAACCTCGAGAGCTGAGGAAGAAAAGGGGATTTCAAAACAGAGTCAAAGAAACAAACATCGGAAAGATCAATAACCACGTACAAAATGAAATAAATAATTAACGGAATAATTGCGAATCGGTTATTTTGGAATGACGATTTCTACTATTATTGGTAGAATTAATTACGATGTTGGGGTATATTAGGATGCAAATGAAACATGGATTCGATTAAATGCAAAGCTGACAGAACTCGCCAGTGCACTCGGAGCCGGCAACATTTGGATTTCCGTGAGTCATTGCGAGATGCTCACCGCCGCAGATATAGCAATTTTTTCTACGAACGCATGGGCCTTCGTGGCCGCGCGCCTGATAGCAGCGCCAGCATTTTCCCAGAATACGGAAGATATGAAGGCGCTCGCATTGATAGATGACATGATGGCAATTGATCGAAAGATGGTACTTGCTGTTGCAGTAGAAGCAGTTGAGATAGCCCGGATCAAGCCTATCCGTATTATGGACCATCACGAAATTGTTGTTAGTCGGCTTATTGCATGTCGGGAACATATTGAGAATGTTCAAATTGCAAGCTGAAATATTTTCAATCAAAATTTAATAGATTGAAATCATTGCACTTACAATCCAATGATTTTAGATTCTTGGCACGAACGAGACATCGAACTTGCTCCAACAACGCGCCTCTTTTCTTCTTCGTATTGTCGCGATCGTGCGATTGCTCAACGGTATCAATATACATTTTCTTGGCGATGCGAATCGATTTTGAAATTGCTTCTTGCAATTCCATCCTGCAAAAAATTAATATAATTGTAGGAGATATATGGCGAAAATTCAAGGCAATAGTGTGGAATCAAATAAAAAAAATGTGTGGAGGAGCTCGCTCGTTTCATATCAATTTTTTTAATATAATGTTTTGAAAGAAGAAAAATTTGAGCCATGTCTACAGGACGTTGGCGGTCGCGGTGAATATGAATGGCACGAATGACAGCGCTCCCAAGGCGGCGCGTTTTGATGGCACTAAAAAAATGCGGTCGACGACACCCAATTTGCCGCTTATACGGCTTTGAGCAATTCGAATCCCACACAAATGTGTCTGCATCGGCCATCGATTGCTAATATAATAAACAACCACTTGGGTCACTGTATTTTTTTGAGGAAAAGCGCGCAATCATTAATATAAACATTTGCATATGTAATAAATCTAAGATTACAAAAAAAGGCCTACTTTAGGTTTTTGTTGAATCAAAACCAATAATAACGGAAAATTAAAACTAGTGGAAATATAGGGGCACATGAGTAAACAGAAGAGATACACATGTTGCGTATACTAATTGCAACTATTCAAGTGGCGATCATAAGAAATTTCAAAAAAAATCATTAATTAGGTTTTTTCGTCTTCTTTGTCATCTTTGTCTTCACTTAACAAAAGATATCTATTCATCCACAATGAGCCATTTAAATTCGAAAAATTACAATAGATAATAAATCTCGACAAATATTAACAACGAATTTGAGTGTGTCTCACAATTTCTTAACGAACGATTGTTTGCGGGATACAAATTTTCAATAATAAACAAATATTCTAGAAGTGATTTTCAAACTTTTATAAATTTGCAAAAAATGAATGATTCATATGATTTATGATATTGATGACTGTTTGACTCAACCAACTAATTTCTATAGTCTATAGATTAATAGTTACCAATTTGTTACTTAAAATTTCCTTTAGAAAGCTGAAACTAAATAAAAAAATTTTAACACGCAGATTCCGTTTCTATTCCATTTTTGTCTATTTACATACATACGCAATATTGCAGACATTTTTTCGCATCAATCAGTATAATTTTGAAGCGTTTAAAAAATTTTTTTTTGGAAATAAGATATTGTATGCACACAATTTCTTACATTATTCTTATTTTTTAAAAAATTAATTATTCATTTCTTTTTTTGCAAATAAAAAAACACTCAACATTCACCGTTTCAAAATGTTTTATTTAATTGTCATTAGCGTAAACATTATTACTTCTAAAAAATAATTTTTTAAATTTGATATTTAGATTAATTGATCAAAAAAAAAAGGATGAACCATTGATCTTTTCATTTTGCAGTTTGCGTACTCGTGTGGCAGGTCCCAAACCGATTTTTAACATGTAAACAACGCCAAACATATCATTGATTCATCCATTTCTCTTGAGTTCGATATTCGTCTGCCCCGTTGCCTTTTTGATTTCAAACGCTTGAACTTCTCTTTTCTTACCTTTGCTATACGTTTTATGTACTTTTTTATATAGGCAATATTCCATACCTTATCGAAACATTATTAAAATAGACATTCTTAAGTTTTCGGGGAAAATTTCTTAAAAACGACTATCATATTCTATTGCAATTGTTTCTTTCATATAATCCACTCTGATCCAATACATTTAAAATCAACTACACTGACTGACCTAATTTCCTGCAGTAGTATCAATATTGAACTTTGTTCGATTACCTCACTCATGCTCTCCTTGTTTCTTTGTACGAACACAATATAGGAACAATATCTGACCAACAAAAATAGCCAACGCGCTCATTTTAGTCTATATTGGCGTTATTTGAGATTTATTAAACTCGCTGATTGAGCATTTATAACGAAACACCAGTATCCTGAGACACGTCACCATGGATTTTAGTTGTTTCATTTCTTTGACGAGAACTGAGAAAGTTGGATTTGGGATTTGATCACTGCAAAAAGGTCACCGCGCACTGTCTTTGCGCCCCCTCTCCATTGCACATACCTCATATGTCCTTGAACTATTCCGCCACATCACCCCACATACAACCGATTTGCCCCCCCCCCGTTCACTTCGTGTCTCATATTTAGCAGCCCCCATTTTTTCGCCATTCCCTTAAACAAGTTTTCTAAAATTCAATTTTAATGTTTCAGATGTTTGCCCTTGTGTTGGATGTCTTCAAGTACTGCTTCGCGAGCTATTGCGTCGTTCGACTTCTCAAGTTCTTATTCATTCTTGCCAAATCCATTATGGTCTATTTCTTGACGCCAGAGTACAATATTGATAATTTGAAAGACTCGTGGACTGGTAATATTTTTTTGCTTTCAAATTAAATAATTTTTTAATTCAGTAATTACTGGCGGAACTGATGGAATTGGACGCGCTTACATTGAAGAACTCGCCAGAACCAGAAAAATCAGCAAGTTCTATTTGATCGGACGCAATCAGGCCAAACTAGAGAAGACTTCTTCGGAGCTTAGTGTGTTTTGCGTCGTGCGAATCTAATCAATTTCATATATTCAGAACGCGATTACAACGCCGAGGTGAAATACCACATTTTTGATTTTGAGCATGATGACTATTCGAAGTTGCCACAGGAATTGGAGAATGACGTTGACGTTGGAATCTTGAGTATGTTTTTTTTGTGTTTTTTCAATGAGATCGTTATCTGTTTTTTGTTTTCAGTCAATTGCGCTGGAATCGCGCCAACACAAGTCGGCAACCTCGTCGAACTCGAAAAAGGACTCGCTTCTAAGATCCTTAGAGTCAACCTAATGTCAACTGTGAAGATGATCGAGCTGGTGTTGCCGGGAATGTTGAAGAGAAACAAGGGATGCGTTGTCAATGTCTCCTCAATAACGGTAAATTAAAAAAAAGTACTTTTTGGAAATGATTTATATAATTTTTAGGGTTGGCGCCCGCTACCATACATAAGCTCCTACCCAGCCAGCAAGGCAGCTCTTTCATTCTTCTCCGATGCATTGTCCGACGAATTCCGTTCAAGCAATGTCAGAATTCAGTGTCTTATTCCAATGCTTGTCGCCACCAAAGTCGCTTCCTATGAGACCGAAGAAGCCAATGACATCTTCGTCGTGACTCCAGAGAACTTCGCTAGGCAAGCAGTCCGTATAATCGGAACTCGTTGGGAGATAACCACCGGTTGCATTCAACACGATATTCAGGTAAATTTATCAAAAATTCAAAAAAAATGGTTGATTTTCAGGTGGCTTTCGGCACACTTGTGTCATTCTGGGTGTTCAAAGTTCTTTTCGTGCCACTTGTCATGCTTGGAATTCACAAGGAGCGCGTCGCCGCCTACCAGAAAAAGAATAGTCAGAAACAGAAGTGAAGAATTGCATTGTGATGGTTTTACGGCGCTTCTAATTGTATTGTGAATCATTTTCTTCGAATTCGTCCCCCTCATTTTTTTTTAGCATAATGTATACATTTTATTCTGCTCATTATTTCGAAATAAATGAAAAAAATAATCTCTTTTGTCATTGTAAACCGAAAATCGGAACGACTTGTTGGCGAGGTGAGGTGAGGGGGTGTAAAGGGGCCCTCCCGAACCGCGGGGTTTGTGTGTTGTTTTCCTCGCCGTCGGGGCGATCCCCGAGAATGTTTGTGCACATCGAGAGGCGCAGCAGCGAATAGTCGGCCAGTTTTCTTGACGATCAAAGTCATTTCTGTGTGTGTGTGTGTGTTACGTTCACAAATCCATTCTTATTTTCGATTCTAATTCAGTAGACACTCGTTTTTCCTCGGAATTCTCACTTTTCGAAGCGTGGACCTTTCAGAATGTCAGAGGAGTATAATCAAGTTGCTGTCTTCCCATCACTGCCAAGAACAACTCGAGGGCTGCCAACAGTATTAGGTATATGCTCATAATGCGTAAAATTTCTCGAAAAATATTTCCACAAAAAAATAACTTCTCGAATAAAACGTAAAATACGATTTTTGGAAACTGTTTGTGTCAATTGGTTTATGAAATTGACGAACTTTGCTTAGTGATCATCGATTGAGGCTCATCCGTTTCGCAAACAAAATTGATGATTTTTTGATCAACTTACATACATTTTTGACAATAACTATAAAATGCTTTTCAAATTTCCAGCAATATTTTCTGATTTCAGGAGGAAGTCCGTCGGGAGACAGAATCCTTTACTGCAATGGAAATTCTGTTTACATTTCACCTGTTTCTGTAAGTTTTTCACGTTCTGAGAGAAAAACCCCTTTAGAGCTTTTAAAAAATTTGATATTGGATAAATCTCAGACCCGCAAATCTACTAAATTATTGCAACTGCGCTCTATTGATAACACGTCTGTGTTACATTCATTTCAAATTTAATATTAAATCTAAATTGACTTTTATCAACTATGTATAATGATGATTCTTAGAGCCTCACATCAACTGATATCTACACTGAACATCCAGTAGCAACCACTGTCGCCAAAATCAGCCCCAGCGGCTACTATTGCGCTTCCGGCGATTCCAATGGAAATGTGCGCATTTGGGATACCGTCAACTCAACTCATATCCTCAAAGCAACCTACCAAGTTTTCTCCGGACCGGTGCGTGACATTGCGTGGAACGATGACAGCAAAAGATTGGCAGCGGTTGGTGAGGGCAAAGAAAGGTTGCTGATAGTTTAATGATAAGCACAACAAGAACTATTTTGTAATTATAGATTCGGGCATGTGTTTCTTTTCGACACCGGAACCTCAAATGGAAACTTGTCGGGACAATCGCGCCCAATGAGCAGCGTCGATTTCAAACCATCGAGACCATACAGAATTATTTCTGGATCAGAGGACAATACCGTTGCCTTGTTTGAAGGACCACCATTCAAATTCAAGACAGTATGATAAAATGATGTCAATGACGATGTAAAAAAATTATTTTAGACTTTCCATGAGCATTCAAGATTTGTTCATGTTACTCGATATTCGCCAGATGGCTCGCAATTCGCATCTGCCGGTGCCGATGGAAAAGTTGTGATTTTCGAAGGCGCTGAGGGAAACAGGCTTGGAGAGCTTGTCGATAGTGCCGCTAAAGGAAATACACATGTTGGTAGCGTGTTTGGTCTCTGCTATTCTCCTGATGGCTCGAAAATTGCAACAGCTTCTGGAGACAAGTCTGTGAAGATCTGGAATACTTCGGATCGTACACTTGCCAAGTAAATGCAGTATTTAATTTTTTTGGGTTATTTTGATATTCAGAACGATTAATTTCGGATCAACTGTTGAAGATCAGCAATTGAGTGTGCTCTGGACAAAGCAGGCACTAGTTTCCGTCTCACTGGCAGGATTCATTAGTGTGATAAACCCAGAAACGGAAACTATCGAAGAAGTGAGAATTTGTCATTTTTGGCATTTTTGCTCTTTGATTTTTTTTGCAGGTTCGTCAAGGGCATAATAAACCAATAACTGCTTTGAACCTTTCCCAAGACAAAAAATTTTTGTTCACTTCCGATTTTGAAGGACATACAAGTGAGTTGAATTAAATATTAATGATTAAATTCAACGCCGTGGAAATTCCATATTATAATCCATATATTAATCATTTTACCACAATATCTGATTTGTAGTCATTGCGAAAGGTTGCGTGAGAAAAATATGCCGACCTTTTCTCAAGAAAATACTAAACAAACATCTGGAATTGTGTTTTGATCAGTTCACCCCAGAATTTGCAATTTATTTGATCGGGAGTTTTAGAAAAAAAACGATTACATGTGATATTATTTTCAAGCTTTAGGAAATTGTTTATTGAGTGGATCTAGTGGAATTTTTTTACTGCAGAATAATGACGCAACGGGCAAGAGTATAATGTAGACCAACAATATTTTGTACAATTTTTTTCCCTTTAATTCATGTGGTTGATTCAAAAAATATACTATAATAAAATATATTCTCCTGTTGAAATATTAGTTACTGCATTTTTCAGCTCGTTGGGAAATGGCTACTGGCAAGTCTCAAAGAATTAAGCCGGAACTTCACAAAACCCAAATCGTCGGGCTCGCTTACACGACTAAGGGAGAACTATTGAGTGTTGGTTGGGATGATATTATTCAAGTGACTCCATTGGGTGCTGACAATATTGGTAATAATTTAAGATTTTAAAATGTTTGTTCAGTGTTTTGCAGACAATGTGAAATCGAACTCAATCAAACTTCCATCGCAACCGCTTGGCCTCGCCGCATCTCCTGATGGAAGTGTTGCTGTTATCGCATGCTATCAGCACATTGTGATTTTTAAAAATGGCCAAATTTCGTCGCAAGGAATCGATTTCAATTCGACTTGCGTTGCAATTTCGCCTAATCAAAAACTTGTGGCAGTTGGCGGACAAGACAGCCAAGTTCACGTGTATGAATTTTCCGGCAGTCAGTTGAATGAGAAGAGGAAAATCAGCCATAACGCCGCAATCACTGCAGTTTCCTTTTCGCCGAATGGCGATTATTTGGCGGTGACTGACAGTGCAAGAAAGGTTGGAATTCGGAAGGAAAAAATGAAACTAGTGAATTTATAGGTTGTTCCCTACGCGGTTGCCAAAGATTTTGTAAGTGCTTCGTCTTCTGAATGGACGTTCCATACCGCTAAAGTTAATTGCGTTGCCTGGTCTCCTGATGGAATTCGTCTTGCTACTGGAAGCTTAGACACTAACATCATCGTGTGGAATCTGAAAAAGAGCGGAGAGCATCCAATTATCATTAAAGGTAGATATCAGCTTATGACCTTTAGAAATGCGCCATTTGAGTCATATGGTATCTCCAAAGAAATTAAACTTTTGATAATTCAGAAATATCTGTATTTTTATGTTTGAAAATTGAAAAAATAATCTTTAAATTATAGAAATTACTAGATCCTCGACATTAATATCTTAATTTTTTCTAGCCATAACGTATTAAATATAAAATAAAACAAAATTCATTTATTCAAAATTAACTAAATGACCGAGACATATTTTACAAAAACCTATTGCGGCAACCTTTCTCTGAAACAAGTTTTAAAGACAAAACATTTACTACACAGTTTTTCTTACAACAATTACACATGATCAAGATAGATGTATATAATCACGTGGTCGGTTTTCATCGTAATCGATAAGTATCAGGCAATTGTCAATGGTCTTCAAACAAGATTCCATTCTTATATGATTGATGATGTCCCGTTTCAGGTGCCCATGCAATGTCAGCAGTCAACGTTATCTCTTGGTTGAATGAAACCACACTTGTTTCCACCGGACAGGACGCAAATATCAAGCACTGGTCGGTTCCAATGTTATAAAGTTTTGCAATGAAAACATTGAGAAACTGCATAGCTTTTCTTTTAAATGTAAAATTGAATAAAGCTTTAATTTGTCATTTTATTTAAAATCTTAATTTACAAAAAGACATTAAACGCGGAAGGAATGTTCTCTCCCATTTATGTCGACCAACGCCCGTGGAACAATTGATTTTTTGATCGAATTCATTGTTTCGTCGGCGTGATCAGCGAAAACTTTACTCAGCCAACTTCTTATCAACTTCAACCATCTTGTAACAATTTGGTCATTCGAGTTTGCCCTTCGCATGATTATTTTCACTATTTTGATGGCACCATTTTTTTTATCGTCAATAACTATGCGTATAGATAAGAGAACGGTTTTATGCGTCGCGTCGAACTCATTCTTCGCCGAAACCATTCGCATCGTTCTGTCCACTCGTTTAGTGTCATAATTTCCGTTGCAAATCTTTTTTTTTAAGCGAAAATGGATATTCAAACATTTAACAAGGAACTGTCGCTGACGAGCAAACGAGAGTGTGAGTTCAGCGCTCTGCAAATTTTATCATCCATCAGACCACAATGGCCGAAAGATTGTATTGAATTCGAGGTTGGTGTCAATGAAAATTATTCATTTTCCACAATTTTTTTTAGTACTTTTCCGTTGGTATAACCAACAAAATTTTTGCCGCCAAATGCGATGAGGAAGCGGTGATTTTTCGTGTTTTTGGAAAAAACACTGATAAGATTATTAACAGGTTTTCCGCCGGACCCAATCCATTTGGTCCCACAATTTTCGCATTGTATTTATTCCAGGAACAATGAGGTAATTGCATGGAAGAAATTGGCGATTCATTCATTAGCGGCGCCAATTTATGCGCAATTTAAGAATGGCCTCGTGTGCGGCTTCATTGAAGGAAAAAGCTTGGAGATGGAAATGATGAAAGCGCCGGAAACGAGACGGTTTTTGTTTCTTCTCAATTATCAAAACCAATTAATGATGGATTGATGTGCAATTTAGGCGAATTGCACGGTCAATTGCACACTTGCACAAAATGGTACCGCGCGAGAATAAGCCAATCTGTTTCAAGAAGATGCGCGAGTTCTTTTCCGCATTTTCGTCGGATTTCGATGATGAAAGAAAGCAGGTATATTATTTGGTTTTCGGATAAGAAAATTATTGTATTACGTAATGAAATAAATCTGATTACGTTGTCAAGATCTTCATCGCTGCCTTGATTGGGAGATAATAGCCAGAGAGCACAGACAACTTTCTATCGGATTATTTTTATTTTTGGATTTTTATTATGTATTTTTAACGTTTTTAAAATTAATTTTTGTATAAGTAAAATTACGTTAGCCAGTTCAAGATCTCAAGTTTTCAGAAGTTTTACAATTGTCATTTCCCAGCAAACCTTGAACCGGAAATTCGGAATCTCGAAATGAAAATTACCGAAATGAACGAGGAAATCGCGTTTTGTCACAATGATCTACTTGTTCATAATATCGTGTACAACCCGGAAAACAGTAAGTTTCCACGTTCTCAATCAGTTTGACGAATTCACGCGATCTCAATGATTCAATGATTGATACGGGGGCGAAATTGTACCGAGATATATTTCAAAAACCCCCCTCTTCCCATTCATCTCTCAAGAGAAACATACCCCGTTTTTTTTCGGATAATCTTCAGCCTCCCTCAATGTTCGAGAATAATAGTAATCCTAGAGAGAACAATACACATATTATTTTCTAGAATCACATAATCAAATATCTTTGATAATCTTTACAATAGGATTAAAATGAATATAGAATGATTTTTCGCCTAAACATACTTTAATAAACAACCAGAATGTATGTGTGCATTTTTTTCCTGATATCATTGATGAAATGAATAATTAGCAGCATTTATCAGGGCCATATTGATAAGGGCCTATTGTTGACAATATCTACAAAACGTTTTTTACAAAGAACAGCACTCAATCAAGGATGTCAATTAACCAAATTCAGGAATACGTTTGCTGACTTTGGCAGAGTTGTGTAATTTTGATGATTTCACTATGAGTTACGTGAAACAATAGTATAATTAAAAAATAACGTTTCTGGAAATTGATTATATCTGGCAGTTAAAAAAATGACTAGATGAAACAAAAAAATGTTTCCTGAGGTGGATCTCTGAAAATCCTTGCATTAAGAATACTATCAAAGTTCTGTAATCTCTGAATAAATTTCGTTAAAAAAGTTCATCTGACTACAGTTTAGTATTGCTGCCAAATTGATCTTTACAGTATGAGCTACAGTGCACTTCATACAACTACATTTTCCCTATTATTTATATATGTAGGGTTTTTTTGTTTTGTTTCATATGTCTCTTTTTTCACACGACAAATGTGTATTTGCCCTAATTAAATCTATATCGGAGATACTACTTGCATGATGAATCAAAAGACACAAACAGTGGGAACATTTTGCTTAGACAATTTTATAACATGGGAAAAATGCCAAAGCATTGAATTCTTGGAATAATTGAATTGCATAGCAGATCTTCCCCCCCCCCTTTTTTTTTCCATTTGGTATTTTTGCAGGACAGAATGTTCTATTTTGAATATCCTATTCGATTTGCTCAAATCCTTCAATGATCCTGGCGCAAATCCGATTCTAATTATTTTCTTTATAGATACAATCAATTTTATTGACTATGAATATGCAGCGACGAATTACGTCCTTTTCGAAATTGGCAATCATTTTTGTGAGTATGCAGGTACGGAATCAGAATTATCAAATAAATTTTCTTTTTGACAAAAATCATATTACTCGTTAAGGTGTTGAAGACACACCGGATTACACTCAATGTTTGTCAAATGTTGAGAAAATGGCGTTTCTTCATGATTATTTGGAGAATCGTGACTCGCGAGTCGACATGAGTCGCCTAAATGTGATGATGGCAAGAATTCCAATTTTCGAAGCGGTCAGTTCGTGTTCTTTTTGTTTCTTTGTTGTCGCTTCTGTTTACCGAGACGTTGGGCAAAACATAGAAATTTCTAAAAAAAATTATGACATCAGACGTTTCCTTGTGAATTGAGATCTTCTCGGTTCAAGGTAGCTCTTTTAAGCAAAACGTCACACAGCTTGCCGACATTTTATGATTGGTTTCCGCAACCAGAATGTGTTGTTTGAGTTGAATTCAACGCGGCAATTAATTGCGGTTTAAATTATGATATCACCAATTCTTTATTATTTTTTTTTTTTTGCAGGCCGCTCATTTATTCTGGACAATTTGGGCTCTCGTGCAGTCGCAAAACTCGACAATCGATTTCGATTATTTGGCGTAATCAAAATTCATCATTTATCGGCCATCTAATTATATAAAATTTAGGTATGCCTACGCACGCTATGAACAGTATAAAAAACGATACAACAAATATAACTTGTGCCATAAATTCTAATACATATTGCCCCTGTTTTATTTTCATTACATTCATGTGTGAGTGTGTTTTTGTATGTGAGCGAATTCTGTCTTCGAAGTACAATTTGCCCTAAAAGTTCTGCTCGCTGCGTAGTGAAAATAAATATATCAAATTGAATTGTTGATCCATTTGAAATAGCGAACACGAGCTTCTAATAGAAGTCGTTAAAGGAGATGCAGAGGATGACGTAATTAGAAATGACTCAAAAAAAAAATAGTCGTTTTTTTGTTCAAAATGTTGAGCGACTTGCAGAATAGATGCAATTTTGTGGTGTTTGGAATTTTTTTTTCAAAATAATGCCAATCGTTTCCAATTTTGAACTTTGCTCAGTAAAGTGTCTAATTTTCACAAATATGCTTATAATTTTTCTATTTATAGCATTATCTTCTTATTTCGACTTGTAACGCAAAAAGTTTTGATCTCAGACAATAAGAACGGATTAAGCGAAGCCATAATATGTGCGTAGTTAGGCGGGCGAGGAAAACGTATAGTTAGTGTAAGTGAGTTTAGTTATGGTGGTTCTTAGTACATATAATGATTCAACAGGCGGCTGATGCATTTTTCCATTATTTTTTGGATAAAATATATTAAATATTAAGAATTAAAATATGATGTTTTGATTTGATGACAAATTCAAGAAAAAATGAGCACAGATTTTTCAGGAAATTCGAGATTTTTGGTCCATCGAATCTCGAAATAATTCATTTACTGTCTAAAAATAATCTTTTAAATTTGAAACTAATCCTGATTTCTTTTAAATTGGTTCAGAGGAAGGAGTTCATAATAGAAAAGTGTTCCTCCTAAATTCAAGCGTTCAAATATTCATTTATTATTTTTCAATTTCCATATTCGGGTGAATATTATTAATAGTTTATTTCTCCGAACCAAACATGCGATGCAAACGTGATAAAATTTTCGTTAGTCATATACCCATATTTCAAATTTTCTAATTGTTTTCGAAGAATTTTAATGCAATTATTTTGTTTTTGAGTAGAATCTTCATCGTCACATTGATCTCAATAGTTCAACAGAAGTGAATTGAGAAAGGCTGTGAACAACCGTGAGCTGAAACAAAATTTGAATTCCCGCGCCGAAATCTGAATAAATATACATTGTTAACATCAACCTTTCTCGTTTTTTGTTGCAATGACACTACGAAAATATGCTTTTTATTTAATGAAAATCAACCATGTGATGTGCAGAATTCAAAAATCAGCTCAGAACCACACATAAATCATTATTCTAATGCACAATCTTCGTGACACGTCTGAAAATTGAATGAAAGCTAATAAATAAGGACAATAATAAACCATTCAAGACGCATATTTTTAATGGATGTATTCTTTAGACCGTGACGTAAAACGCGGAGTTCAAAATGAAGGATAAGTGGTGCGAAAAAGTTGGAATCCGTTCGAAAACCCCACACTTTGATGAAAACATCATCTCACTCAATTGCCCTATTTAAATTTCGTCATATATGTTGTTGTGAGTCTCCGATTTTTGCACTATAGTTTGTCAGATGTTTGTGACGGAAGTATACAAATTTCTTCCAGTGGTCCCAACGCGATTTCAATTTATTTTAATGACGACAGACAGATTGCACTGAAACAACTGCACAATATGGAATAAATTGAGCGCCTTTCATTTGAAATTGCCAAAGTATGGTAATTACTCGTTAATTATCTAATGTCGTCATATTGTTCATCGAATACGTCCCCCGCTTTGCTTCGTTTCAAATGATCTACAATGACCTGAAATTTAATACGTGTCTAGAGAGGTCTTCCTTTGGAGAAGAATAGTGATGTCGAAAAAAATGACTAGCGGGAGGAGGGCACTTTTATTGTCGCATTTTCCGCCTTGTGCTCAATCTCAACGTGGGCGTTTATTATTATTTCCTGCAGAAACGCGGACAAAGAGGAATAAGAAATATTCTAATATTGCAAATGGTTTGATTTCCTGTCCCGTGCTAATAATAATAATTATAATGATAATTGCAATGCAATGTTTCGGCAATCAGTTATCCAGAAATTTCCGTGAGAACTGGTGTCTGGAATCTTCCAAACTTTTCATCAAATCCATTAAATTATTAATCAGTCATCTCGAGTGCTTTCACTCCCACATTTCTGCCCAACTACTCAATTCGCACATTTGTAGCCCGAACGTTTGTACTAGACGTCGCCACATGTTCATTATGCAGGGTGAGAAGAAGAAGAAGAAGAAGCAGGCAAGCAACAAAAAATTTGCGGGTGGGCCTCAAGAGGCGCGTGCGAGAGAGGAGCAGCAGCCGCCGGCAAGCTGAAAAGGGGCGTGGCCGTCCCGTATAAGGAACGACCGCCCTCCGTGGCCATATTCGACTACTACCATTTTCCCTTCATCGACTTCATCATGAATCGACTTTCGGTGCAACCACGTAAATCTATTATTGATCTCGCCGAAGAATCTGGACTATTCGGCATTAATGCATCGGACTTGGTGTTCGAGTCGACGAGCAACAATATTTCCTACTATGATTTTGTGCTCAGCTGCAATTCGGTAGACAATGATGGCGGTGTGACCATGTACTTGGCCAAGTTCGATGAGCGCGTCAACATGGAGGAGTTTGAAACGTGCCATATTCCAAGAGAGCTCTTCGAGGAAGGCCTTCCACAATGCGATTTGGGACTGATGACACTCGGCGTCCTTGTATGGAAGCACGTGATCGCCAAGAAACGGCTTCTATGTCTTATTCGCAACGTGGATTCCAACTATGATCAGGCCATGGAGGCATTGAAACGAGCCACCAAGAAATTCTCAATTCAACATCATGTGCAGACCATCGGCAGAAGACTATCAACATCATCCAACTCGTCATACGGCTCGACTCACTCGTATCAGAGTGAAGGTATGCGGATGAGGGTGCTCCTTTGCCAAACGCGAAATGTTGTTGAGCACATCCCAGCTCAATCTGTAAGAGAAACAAAGGCACTTCTCAATCCATCATCGAACCCACTACTTTGTCTATGCTTCCCAATCGTTTAACTTTTCATCCATTTGAAATAATCCTTCTGTGTTTTTTTTTTCATTTTGATGTATATCCTGCTATATATGTACACATTTGACGCCGTTGGCTCCCACTGGTTCGAATCATCGAAAAAAATTTCAAGCAATGTCCCAGACTGTTTTCAACGCGTATTGTCACCTTTTTTGCTTATTTTTTTCTGTATTGATATAGTTGTAAAACTGAATAAAAATTACATTGTATAAAATAATTACTAAGATATATTCTGCAGCATTTTTGTTCAACATGTAATGAAACCAAAAATTCGTTTTTTTTCGGGCTCATCAATCTTTGATAACTCATCTTGAAAGCGAAAACAAGCTTGTTATAGTTCCCCTGAGGCAATGAGTGTACGCTGCAAAACAGGTAAAAAAAAACTTCGTCGCGGCAGAAAACAACAGATGTGATTTTACATATAGTAATAAACAAATCGGGCGAAGCTTCCTGGGAAAATTATGAATAACAGATTATATGCATTCACATAGAATCAAAGTAACGTTGGAAAAGAAAAGTGAAACAACCCTCTGACAATACAAATTTCTTCGAATTTTTTTTTCACAATTTTTGGTTTTTTTTCAGTTCAAGATCGATGATAATCTGTAGTATAAGAAACACAATATATGATATAAATGTACAAAATTTTATAGCGAAATCCCACGAACGAATTTTTGTATTCTTCTCGATGAAATTCACGTGATAATTTTTTCTCTGCGAAAAATAGTTCTTAGTATAAAAATGGATATTTTGAGAAAAATCCAGAAATAAACTTTATGTTATTAATTAATTTTTGGTTCGAATATACCGATTGTACTTTGGAAATCATATTTAGTAGAAAAAACTGAGTTTTATGTGTTTTTTTAGAGAGTCATTTCTTCAATGTGAAAAGCTTCATCTAAATTTATACCAAAAGAAATTTGTAATAGCACATTTTCGTAATAATGAAATTTATTAGCCAAAAAAAAACTCACTTGACGTACCAAAAAAATGTGTTTTCTTCAATGCCAGGTATCCTAACAATATTTGCAAAACTCAATAAATTTTCCTATAACTTGGTTTTGTTTTTTATCCACACTGACCACTAATTTGTTGTTTATTCTTCTACTCCGATAAGCAAGAAAAATCAAAATTGCGTGAAACTGTGTTATTGAATCTGATTCGAAATAACTATTTTCGATCACCTGCGTCACCAATTTTTCCTCGAGACAACAAACAATAACATAACACTTTGACAGAAATAATTATTTATTACTATATACACAGAGAAATAAAAAAATTACAAAAGACTGAGAGAGCCAATTAAATTGGAAAGCCGATGACCCATTCAATTATTAAGATTATTATTATTATCATTATTAACGGTTGGACGTCTTCAACCTCGCTGGACAGGGCAGCAGATTCGGTAGAGGCTGTCGTGAGACATGAAGCAATCGGCATTCTCGGGGCAACGGCTCGGCGTCCAAATCTCTTGATCGATTCCGCATGCAATGACCATATTCGATTGGTCGCGAATTGCAAGCTCTTTCGAGCAGAATCGAAGGACTGCAACAAAACCAGAGGTCTTGAATTTTTAATTGAATTCATATTTGTATATATATATGCACATGTATACAAATTTGTATATTTTTAGCAATTTTTCGGCCCGGACGTTATTCGCGCATGCGGAAATTTGGGCATCATCGAGAAAAAAATGAACCCGACTCAGTTGCAGCGCGAAAGAAGGGAAGCACTACTAGAAACTTAGTCAGTTAGAAGGAAAATGTAAACCGAAGTTATACGAAAGAAATAATATCACGGAACTAATTGGAATTGAAATATGAAACTGTTACAAATATGTTTACTCACTTGACTCCTTCTTTGCCGGTCTCGGCCTCGGGGTTCTGTAGAAGACGTTTGGATTGTAAGCAGTTGTGGTTGTTAGTGGTCTTGAATTCGTTGGTATAACGTTATCAAGCTCTTCGTCAGACCTTTCCTATAATAATAATAATAATTAATTACAGCTTTGGCCTAAAATGACGTTTTTGTTTTGTCCTCGTGTAGAAGGAGTGCACTCCTCATGTTTAATTATATGATATTCATACATGTACGTATTCTACTTTGCACGTACATGCATATGGTGCTGAGGTTTCTTCTCTTTGCACGAGGGCATAATAAATGAACGGAACAAAAAAGGAAAATGAAGGAAAGACGATGTTGAAACCATTTTTTTCGGTTCTAAAGGATTAAGCTAGTTTTATGGCTTTGCCGTATGCGTGCACATTTTGTCGGTTATAGAAAAAAATTGAACAGGATTAGCACAAACCTGCTTCTCTGTTGTGCTTGCTGTCATTGGCTTTTGCGTTCCTAAAATAGATGAACGATCAGGTTAAATATTGGGGTTAAGCATACTTTGTGCAGTAATATCCATTGTGTCGTCATCATCGTCATCATCATTCTCATCGTTCATTAAGTCATCAAGATTTGACATCGAGATGGGCTCCATTTCAGGCATCTCTGCAAGTGAATGGTAAACAAAATCGTAAATAATGTTAATATCCCACTTATTGGAGAACCATTGCGTGGAACATGCGTTTTGACGCCATCATTTTCTGGAAATCAAAACGTTTGAAATACTCGAGATTTCAACGAATTCACCTGATGGAAGTGAGATCTTCTCAGCAAATTGGGCAGCGGCGATGCTGTTGCGAACAGGCGCTCGGCGAATATCACCACGTCTTGCGCTCAACTAAAAAATTAAGTTTTTTTTTGAAAAAAAAAACAAAACAACATAGTTGAATGGCTTCTTTAATGCTATCCACCCACATAAATAATTCGGATTAGTGATGGAATAGTTGCAATCAACAAATATGATGCGGGCAAAGATTTTAGTCTAAATATGGCAAAAGTCATTAAGAATTTACGAGGCGGGGGGGGGGTGGCAGAATTCCGAGCAAGCGGAGCTAAATGAATTACTTGAATTACTTTTCATTGCAACATTTTTGCAGCGAATCTCAACCCTATTTTGCATTTATTTATTAACGAAAATAAAAAAAATTAAGAGAGCTCTTGCAAATGACTAAAATTTTCGCGTCTTGGTTTTGTAATCATTTTTGAGATCAAGTGTGAAATTTATTGAAATCTACAGTACACATTTATGTCAATTGCAAAAATATTTTTTCCCTCATAGATCAAGACGCGTTTGATCTTACGAATATGTAAAATTCTTCAGTCTTCCACAATGTGTGTTTTGATTTTTAAATCAAAGTTCTTCATAAATTTCTATTTTGATTTCCTCGAACACTCTAATTATTTCAATTCCATTGAAAACAATTTTTTCTTATAAGCTCAAAAACATATAATTTTTTAGCAGCTTACTTTATTAATAACTTCTTCAAGTTCTTCGTCTTCCTGAAACTCAATCATTGGGGAACTGCTTTCGGTTTTCTTTGGCGGATTCACTGTTGGTGCCTGAAATCATCGCTGCCGTATGATGGATAGTAATTGTGTTTACGGTGGCGTAAGCATTTTCATCAGTTACTGGATCATCGAACGGCGACAATCTGGTTTCCTCATCAATGTCTCTGGCATTATCCTGCTGATTTGTGCGCGTTTCAACCAATTTTCGCTGGACTGGAAGATCGCGACGTGCAGATGGGGTGGTTGTTCGGCCAGCCATCTTGATCATCCTATAGAACAATTTAATGATATATTCAGAGATTGCGAGAAATTCTTACGGCGCTGACGTAACTCTGAAGTGATCATTATCCATATCTTCAATTGAGCTGAAGAACGCGCTCTCATATTTCTTGGTGGTCTTGACACGCGGTCTTCTAGTCCTTGGAGCTTCCGTAGTGGTTGTTTTAGTAGTGGTTGGCCTCGTTCTTCTACGTCTTGTAGTCATTGGTGCCTCAGTAGTTGTAGTTGTTCTATGAGCTCGAATAACTTTCTTGATCACCTTTTTAACGATCTGAAAAATCCAGATTTGCTTATCCACAACATTCGAATCATTTCGATACCACTTTTGGCGCTTCAGTTGTTGTTGTCACCGGTTCCTTCATTTCCTCAGACCCATTGATCTCATTAATGATCTTTTTTGTCTCTTCATCATCCTCCTCGGAAGACCAAATATCCTGAAACCGCAGCCATTTTTTGTTGCATTTTTTTGCTGTCATCATCAAAGCGGCTGATCGCAAGCCGACACAATTACAAAAAGAGCGATGTCAGTTTGAAGGATCGATCAAAGACAAAAAACATGTGTTTTTCGTTTCTTGCAAAACTCGAAAGTGCAACTAATGCGAACGACAACCACACATCAATCGGAATTTATTACGTAATGCAAGTTATTAGAGTGGCACAGTGCAAATAACCAAGTGAACATGAAAATAACAAAAGAAAGTATATTAGATTTTTCAGTCAGCAAGGTCTGAAATGCTTACAACATGTTGCCGATGAGTACGAATCGGTGATCTTCGCCTGCCCTCCATGTTCACCGGCTGGAGTCTCTCAAACTCTTCTTGATCAAGATCTTTTCTAATTGGCTAAATTCAAAGAATTAGAAAAAGACTAATGGAATATGGAAAAACCAATAATTCTTTGGAAAATGCTGGTCGGTGCTGATTTGGTTGCGGGAATTGTTCATTCGGGAATGTCACCTTCGAGAAATCGGGGTTATTTTGTGTTCTTATTGGTGGGCGAGCGGATGGTGGTCCAGCTACCAATTCAGTTTGACGTTCTGTCTCCGATGGAATCTCCACTGGTGGCTCTGAAAATATGAAATGTCGGAATAATTCTCGAAATCTCATATCAACCTGGCTGGGATTTCTGGATCAGTTTATTCAATGACTGCTGGAAAATCTGCGCAGCTTTCTGTTCTGATTGAGCGCTGCCAATTTGCCTAGAACACATTCATTCGTTTTTTATTCAATGGCTGATCCCTTTGTTACGCACCTGACTATATCCTCAACAAGTTTTTGGCTGAAGATTGGTGTCTCTTGTGGGAATGTGGTCTCCTGTACAGACATGGTTTCAGTAACAGCTTCTTCCAAAACAGGTTCTTCGGTTTGCGAGACTGGCACGGTAGGTAGAGGAACCTGAAAGTGCATTCAGCTAATTTTCATTCCATCCAATTATCAAACCACAGCGGGTTGTCTTGTAGGGGGTTGATTCTCAACAGGAGCTAGAGTTGCTGAACCACTGATATCCATTACATTTTGAGAATCTTCAATTTCAACGAGCGGCATAATTGGCTTCTCAACATGAGCGGTTGGAACGGATTCTGCCTTTGATGGCTTGTGAGTCTTCAAAACTTTTCTGAAGTGAATAAATCATTTACTATTAATATATTCAATAATTACAATGGGTCAGTCTTCTGTTGGATTGGCTGAGGGAGAGGAGCCTCAACATTATCGAGAGTGTTCGATTCCGTGGTTGGAGCTGAAGGTGTGGTGCTTCGAATCCTCTCATCAGCGATGATATCAGTAGTTCCCCTTGGAGCCAAATCGCAGAATCTGACAACATAGTTTCTTCCGCTGATTCTAATGGCATTGATAAGCTGGTTGTCATGCCTTAATATGAGTTATGCGACTTTATCGTGCTAGTTATGTAATACTCGAGAACAGTGCTTCTCGTGAGTCCAATTGGTTTATTGAACACGAGTTCCTTGCAGTTGAATTCGTCACGCGAACGCAAGCGGCAGCACATGGTTTGGATCCTTCAATGCATTCGTTTTTACGATGCGAGTTAACTCGTGATATTTCAAAAACCTGGTGTCACTGAGTCTTGTGATCCCAGCTAGATACTCTCTTGGAGCACAAGTGTAAGTCGTATTTTCATCTAGAATCGGATCTATCATATCAGAATAGTGGCAATCTTCTCGCTCAATATCAGCGATTCCCACGGGAATGTTCACCCATGGATAGAGGTCTTCAACTGTTTCGCAGGACATGTCGAAGACGATATCCTGACGCTTCTGACCAACAGATTCCACCATTCGTATGCTGATTTCAGTAGCAGTTGCCTGTAATTGGATGTATGGGGGGATTGGTGAATTTACGAAATTTTACCCTCTTTGGACATTCGATTCTGAAATTGTCAAACGGCGAGGAGACGAAGACATTCTTAGCGGCTGCTCGTGCAACTAGAGAGAGCAGTAGGACAACCACCAGCTTCATCTGGAAGATTGAAAAAAATTGAAACATGTGTAAAGAAGCACAAATAATTTGAAGCACATGTTTCAAAGGCACATTTATACAACATGGCGGAGCGCTAAAAAATAGACTAATCCGGAATTGTAGATCAAGTAGACCGATAGCGAAAGGGAAAACAACTCGATTTCTAGTGAGGTACACCGAGAAACCTGGCGAGGATTCAATCGCTCTTTTTTTTCGGATGAGGAGGAGATGACAAGGTGTTGTGGCGGGATGGTGGTAGAACGAAAAGGATAAGAACGGAACGGGAAAACGGGCTTGCACGAGGATGCAAATGGGCGGAATCCTCGAGAGAAGATGATGTTTCGCAGTGAAAGCTTTACGAGACGATGGCCCAACCAAAATCCTGTCAGTTGAAAGAATGCAAGGGGGGGCAGACGCTAATGATAAAATGATAACGTCGAAATTCGAGAATTGATTTCATCGCCGTCCGTCGGGAATAATTGAATGGATAAACATTCCGAACGCTATCAAGAATCAACCATTCCTCTCCACTGAAGAATGTGTAACTCAATGGATTTCTTCTGAAATTTTTGAACTTAACGAACATTTCCAAATTGGAAAAAAAATTAGAAACCTTACATTTGGCTATTATTTTTTATGATCCCATTTGTGGAAACTAATAACATAAAATTTTTGGACATATTGTTTTCGAAGTTAAATATTTAAAAATTTGTTGTTTAAATTAGGGATTCTTTAAACGCACTAACCTTTAGGAAATAAATAATACTGTAAAATTATAAGAATGTTTGAAGAAGGTTGTGGATGTCTTGATTTATATAATTCACAGGAATATCTCAGAATTTACGAAGAGGGGTTGTCAGAATATCGAGCGCTTCCAATTTCTTTAAATGCAGGATATTTAGAAAAAAACATTATCGTATGACAAATTACATGAAATCAGGGAACTTAAAAACGTCCGGTATGAAAATAGAAATAGCTGACACGAATTGGCGGCATTCATCACAAAAGATCACTTATTGAAAAATTTGGTTGGTCGGGAATTTAATCTTGACACAAATCTTCATGTAAAATAATTCAACACACCACCGTCTAGTGCAGATTCGACAGCGTCCGCTGATAGCGTCAAAAATATAGGTGAAAGAAAACCATTGGCTGAAGTTTCATGAAAAGCGAAACTTTTGAATGACCCGGATTGTTGAGAAGACACTGATGAGGGACGTCGACAGAAACATTGACGCGCCCCCCCCCGCGCAAATGAACTGCCCGAGTTCGATTATCACCGATTGTCGCGTTTCACTTTCAATTTGTGGATTTGAATGTCATTACTCACTGTCACAATCATTATTTAACAAATTTATTGATGCATTTCGATTCTATACTTAACATCTTTACTGAAAAGTTTCCCATGGGAGTTATCAAAAACGAATACAAACTCTCCGTCTTCCTCAATATCGAATGTTCCGATTTCCGGATGGTAATCGGTCATAATCCGAAAAACGGGCCACACCTAAAATTGAATGAGAAAATTTATCATAATATTCGAAGATTTTGAAATACCACTCGGCCATCCTTTTCAATACTAAAATCCAAATCGCCGCCGTTGACCCTCCAGAGCCATGAAAACTTTTTTCCAGCCTCTCCGCGAATTTTCACCTAAAACAATTTTGATATTTCAATTTCATTTCATTCTCATGCATTATGTAAAATGCTTGCTAGATATCAGTTCAATAGCTAACATTTTCGGAGTGATTGAATAATATCGGAATGGAAGAACAGGATTGAAATCATGAGCAATTAGGGGAAGAATGTTCATGTTGAATATTCAAAATTATATATACCTCTGATCTTGACCTGGCTGGTACCGTAAGTTTTGTTTTTCCTTCTTCAAGTCTATGGGATTCATTGTACCTGAAACTATAATTTAAAAGCCAGAATTGCAATATTAATTACCACAAGTCTTCATGAACTTTTCCTCCGATGCGAATAAATCCTTTTTCCCGATTCATTGGCTTCTTGCCACCCCATGCTGTATACACATTGTTTTCTCCAATCTCATCAATAAGCGTTTGTTTCCATTCCTTATCCAGAAATTTGATCTGAAGATAAGAAAAGTGTTGATAAAAAAATGGGAGCGTTTGAAACCTTTTCGCGAGTTTGAGTTGATAAAACTGGCGAAATGGCCGCGTAAATTGTCGACATCATCATTGGGCAGTTGATCACGAAAATTTTACGAGCAAAATCGGGAAAGATATTCTGCAACAAGCGCCTCATTTAAATTATTACATTGTGTATAAAAACCTGCAACATTGTCAGTAGATTCATGTAAACTTTCAATGTCGGGGTGTAAAGAAGATCCATGCTAAACCCATCAAGATCCATAATAATAATAACCCCAAGTTTGGACTTTGTTTTTTTCTCAGTTTCTCTAAAGCAAAATATTGAATAATTGAATTCAATTACTAATATAACCTAACAATTTTAAATGTCATTTCAGTTTCCGTAATGCATAATCTGAAAATTTCTGAGACCGCTCCAGCTTTAACCAATGTTCTTGGATGAGTCTGAAAAAATTCTTATTTGCAACCTTGGATGTCTATTTGATTCACTTTGGCTATAGTCTGCAGAATGACGACATCCCCTCGTTTACTCTGGCTCATTATTCCACCTGAATACGAAATAAAATAATAATAAGAATATAAACTCCAATAAAAAGTAATGGGTCACCTGGAAAATATTCCGCGGCATTCGAAAGATTACGAATCATCTCGTTGATTTCGTCGCACGATTTAGTTGGCTGCTTATGCATTCCGAGATTGACAAGTGTCTCGACAGCATATTTTAGCTTGGGTACAATTTGATCTGAAAAAATTTGAAAAAAAAAAAACATTTAGTAAAAATTATTTTGTAAAGTTGGATTAATAATCTCTTTCTTTAATTTTTGGCGCCGTCAGAATTTTGAATCAAATTTGTCTGCAATAAAAACGATGGTTATACCAATATTATAATCCCATCCTAGAAGCCAACGCAGAAGCGAAAAATCAGTATCGTATTCCGGATACTTGGCTAAAATATCTTTTGTTCTTGATCGTAGCTCTTCAATTTTCTCCTTCTGGTAACCAGTCAGCTCATCGGTCGTTGGGTAATGATTTTCCGCCACCATTCTGAAACGTACACTGAATAATTTGCACTAAATACATTTGTAAGTTGGTACAGGCACCAAAAATAAGTGGAATCACTTTTGATAATAACTGATAAGAACTGATTTTGGCTTAATTATCGTGTGTTTGATGTCTAAAAATCAACTACACACGGTTTATGGTCAATCAGTTATGTATGTGGAATAAATGTAATCATGCTACAAAATTCAAATTAAATTGTTTACGAATTAAAATGAAAAAAATTATATCAAAACGAGCTAGAAGATTGTCTTAGCATAGTTAAAAAAGCAGAAAAAAATTCTCAATTTTCATCTTCATTATTGGTTTTTAAAATCCAGAAATCGCACAAAGCAAACCTGTAATGAAGAGTTACTGATTCGCAGCAACAGCAAACGGACTGGTGCATCATTTCGTTCTAAATTGCAGAAATCGACGGCAAACCTTCTTGAAGCAAATCGCCAGTTGATGAAGCATAATGTTTGAAAAGTTATAATTGTTTACGGTTTCTAAGAATATTGATTTTTATTTTTGTGAACTTCTTACAATACCTTTTGTTTTTTTTTTATGTTTTGAAACCAAAGATTAAATTTATGAAATTTCATAGATTTATAAGATTTCTTAAAAAGAAAAACGTATATATTGATTTTTATTTAAAAAAAGTGTTTCTATTGTATAAAAATATGTTTCTCTAATGTACTATGGTGTCACCGTAACGACCGCGAAAAGAAGAGCACTGGGTTCTGCTCGTCTTTCACTAAATATTCCAAGTTTTCTAGTAATAACAATCGATTATTAATTTCAAATTAATTGTCCCTTAGAAATTTGAATTTAAATCCATCTTCAAGATTCCTAATTTTTTTCATTTCCATTTATGAACCTCATCTTGGTACATTTTTCAAAGAAATTGGTATTTTTACAAATCAACTTGATTAAAATTTCAAACTTACTTATAAAAAATTCAGGTTTGTAATTAAATTCTTGTTATTTAATAAGTGCAAGAATAAAACTAATATATTCAGCAGAAGATATTCCACATGTTTTTAACTATTTCACAAATGTTTCCCCGCAATCATCGATGTTTGATACATCCAGATTGTTCTATTAGAGCCGAGTGCAGCGAGGATTTTTTGTTGGACGAGGAGAAGAAAAAGAAGAAGCTTAGAAAGATGAACGATAGCTTGGGCGAAAGTGTGCGTCGTCTGTGTGTGTGTTTTTTTTGGCTGATTTTCTCGCGTTGTAAAAATCGGCGTTGGCATCTGCCAAACTACCTCGATCATGAGCCCCGTCTTTTTCACATTTTTCTCGCCCCTCGACTCAAACCGTGCTAGTTTGATTTTAGCTATTTGACGATCGACATGGACTTGCTCACTTCACCATCATTTCATCATATTTCGCCAATCACTCGTTCTCGAAGCGATGTTCGATCGACAGCAATGCGAAGGTATAATACAAAGGAAAAGAATGACTGGTCATTTTTGTGATTCAGATCCAACTCATTCTCTGGAGTGACTCGCTCAACTTCAAGCGGAAGATTCACCCGCCCCGAATATGGATATGGTGGCGGCTACATGGCTCGTTCGATCAGCAAATGTGGTAGGCAACGTTTAACAGACCTTGAAACCTCTGTGTACATTGTCATTGCTATTTTAATAGGAGTGTTCGGATTCTATTATTGTATATTGAGCACCTAATCCTTTCCACCAATTCACCAATCGTTTGTCAGTTTTGTGCGCAGGGAACTTAACGGGCTCATGTCCTAATCATTATTGTTTGCACAATTATGATCTCAATTCATATTGTCAGTAAAGTGTTTTTTTTTGTGACGATTTCCCTGTTGCACAATACTACATTTTAAAAGAAATCATTAAAAGAAGTAAGGGTCTTAATTAATTTTCTCGAAAAAATAACGATGAAGCGCACAGCTGTTGCATCCAACCCACGCGTGATTGCTGTTATCTTTCGTTTGCTGCTCAGGTGAAAATAAAAGAAAAGTTTATTATGGGAATATTAATATTGACTTAAAACAACGAGAGAACACCAAGTTTTGCAGATAAATTAAATATATCTTCGTGTGAAATTTTAAGAATGTGTCATTTTCGAAACTTGGCGCCAAGCTAAGATAACATTAACAAAAAATATATTAACTGAACTCATATAGTCAATCAGCCGTGAAATTTAAGTGCATTACAATCGTGACACAAATAGACATTACACGAAAATTAATAATACAAAATGATATAAAAAATTATTTACACAAATAACTAATGAATTGAAAATGGATTTCTGGAAATCTTGAAATTTAAATATTCAGGAAGCTCGTTGTTTGGTAGATCTTTGGCTGCAACCGCACTGACCAAGACCCCACCATTCCATAATGTTGGTGTTCAAAGAAGCACTCCGCATTTCACGGATAAGTAATAATTTTTTAAAAATATCATTTTCTAGTTGATTTAAATTTTTCAGGTATCCATACGTCAGATACAGCTATGGAAATACCGACACCGCATTGGGTATCTTGACTCAATCGGAGTCGGTCTATTCGCGACATGCTGGTATTCGTGACATCGGAACCAAGAGATGGCTTGAGGGAAAACTTAATGCTTACAACACTTCTTTGTTCACCCGCCCGGATTATCAGAAAAGAGTTGAGAGACCGATTGCTTCAACTAGAAGCTATGTTAGGTAAAACTTGAAATATATCATTTATTTTAATCGCATCACGAATCCAAACTACATATATTAAATTGTAATTAAATTTATAGTCGAGTTTGTCAATTTTTCTAAAACAAAATTTTCTGCAATTTCACATTCCCTAACTGAGAAACTAATTTTGTACATTTTCGAATTCTCGTTAATTTGGCCATTCGCAGTCAAACCACTAGATAACCTTAAATGATTCATTTGAAATAAACGCAATGCGTTATCCACAGAGCGTATTTGCTCCTGTCCTATTATAAAAAAGACGCACGTATTATTCTTACTCAACGCGCGCAATGCTCGGAGAATATTCGCGTATTTCTCATTCATTTCAACCGTTTACTATAGATACATGCCGGTTGATGATGCCGTTGACATGTACAAGAAGCGATGCATGACTGTTGGAACACTTTCAAAGGTAATATTTCAATCAAAATCTGTTCTATGCATTATTGTTTAGTATTGGCTCTCGCCGGCAACCTGGGCGTCTCGTCGTGAAAAAGAATCCAACTTGTCGTCATCGCTGAGCCGCGGAAACTACTCGTACTCGAGCCGCTTTGACCGGTAGACAATTCAACGGAAGAAATTGTAAAAAAATAGTTGTATTTTTACAGACTTGGCGGACGTTACTAAATGATTGATAAGCGACATTCTTGGCGACTCGCGTTCTTTCTACCCATTTTGTTCATTATATTCTTATCTCGAGACGATCACCAGCGTTTTTGTTTGTCATCCTCTTTAAGTCTATTCTTGTTTTTCTAAATAGTTGGCAAACGAATCCGCATTGAAATTTAACTATACAGAAGTAAATAAAGATATTTTAACGATCATTTCTCTTAGTTTCTTTTCAATTGATTATGTATTCAATGTTCAATTATTTGTTTTATATTACTAGTTAATTAAGCAACCATCGATTTAGATGATGTCCACCCCATCAATGGCAATAAAATCTCATCAAGTCGGTCGATTGCTGATTGGCGGAGGGTATAAGCTTAATTCGGGGTTTGAAATTCCAATGATCGGCATGGGATGCTCAAGGAACATTGAAAAGGTTTTCCAAACAGCTGATTCATCTATTGATTTTCAATATCTAGCTCGACGAAAGCGTTGAAGCTGCCCTCAAATGTGGCTATCGGCTCTTCGATACCGCTAGAATTTACAATAATGAGGACATCCTTGGAGCATCACTAAAGGTACAAATCATTTTTTTTAATTGTGTTCATAATCATCATGGGTTTACTGATTTTACGCAAAACAAGTGGATATAATTATTTTATATGTCTGAAAATTTCCAGAAACACATGACCGCGCTGAGCATTCCACGTGAAGACATCTTTATCACCACCAAGGTTCCCATTACAAATGACTCCGCTGCTGAGTCGGTGGACAAGTATATTGAAGAATCATTAGCCAAACTTCAAGTGAGCTATCTCGACCTGGTGCTAGTTCATTATCCCCGTGATCGCGACACAGGAATCGATGAAGCTAAAGAAATAAATGAGCTTAATCGTCGCCTTGTCTATCAGAAGCTCGAGCATTACTGCGGTACGGTTTTACTTGTTTTTGATCGTTTGTTTGATTTGTCAAAAATTAATTTTTAAAAGGCATATTCAAAATTCAGACAAAGGAATAATCCGCTCAATCGGGGTGTCGAATTACGAAGTACTTCACTTATTCGAACTATTCAAGTACTGCCGTATCCCGCCAGCCGTTAACCAGATTGAATATCATCCGTATTGTACGAAACCGCAGGTCGTCGATGTTTGCCGAACTAATAACATATTCGTGCAGGTTTGAAAATCAATCTCTCGTTTTAATGACTTTTTCATTTAAAATGTAGGCGTATTCAAGTCTATGCTGGGGAAACAAAGACATTCTTCAAGAGGATATTGTTGTAAAACTATCGGAAAAATACAACGTTCCACCCCAGGTAATAAATTCATCAATAAGTTATTACGTTGAGGATAGTTTTCGAATGACTAGAATTTAAAAAAATCTTCCAGCGATGTTTTAAAACTGCATGAAATGGTTTTCTTCATTTCAGATAGTTCTTCTACGGTTTGGTGTCAGCTCGGGTGTTGGAATTATTCCAAAATCAGCAACTCCATCACATATTGAACAAAATCTTTGTGCTGTAAGAAAAAAACCAGAGTAACATATAGTTGTTTTAAATTTTCAGACTGCCCAACTGTCGTTTGTGCCACAAGAACTTGATGAGCTCAAGAAACTCGATAGAAACCAGCAGTTCTGCCCAAATTGTTACCCATGGCGGGTTCTTTAAATTTGATTAACGTATAGAAATTGTAACATAAGAAATAGCAGCTGAATGTGTGATATGATTATATTTGTTGTGAAAAATTGATTTATTGAATAAACGGTTGCCATAATCACAGTTTAGTATAAATACATCAAGCATCGGTTTGGTTAAATACAAATTTCACTCGGTCAAATTTACATTGGTGGTCCATTCTTGGATGGAAGAGGTCCAGCTTCTTGGTATGGAGTGTACGGCGGCGGCTGAGAGCTGTTCGGCACATTCTGATAGTGTTGTTGTGGTGTGACTCCAGAACCAACGCCATATCCCGGTTGTTGGTTGTACGCTCCGTAGCCCGGCGGTTGTGGAACCGGTGCAGAGCCAGCTCCGATATTGTATGGCGGTTGCTGATGTGGAGCAGCACCAGCTCCGATGTTGTATGCCGGTTGCTGTTGTGGAGCAGCTCCTGCGCCAACAACGAAGCCTGGCTGTGGTGGCGCTATCGGGTACTGAGCAACACCAGCCGACTGGAGCTGATTCACTGGTTGGAGAACTGGCTCGCCAATTCCAGCATATGGTGGCGGACTCTCAAACATATAGACGTTTCCCACTGAAAACACCAACGTGTGAAAATGAGTGACTCATACACAAAACGGACTTGGCGGCTGTTCTGGGAAAACATGAGTCGGCGCCTGGAATCCCTGGTAATTTCCTTGCGACATGTAGTATGCCGGTGGTGCTGAGTAATAAGTGTTCTGCTGGGCCTTCGGAGCTTGCTCGTACGCCGGCGGAGCAGCAAATGGTCGAGTGCGGGAAGCTGAAATCGATATCATATAACGATTAAAAAAAGTTGTTTCTTTTGCTAACCAAGCTCAGCAGCTCTGAGAAGAGCTTGTCCGAACTCGATGCATCCGCCCTTTGGGAAGCTTAGACGAAATTCTGGGCACCCATCAAAATTTCCGCCAGCCAACGGCTGAATCCATCCCTTAAGATAATTCGGAGCAAGCATCGGCTGCTCCAATTGAACGTCGCGAAGGCAGTTGAATGGCATCGAGAACGAACGGAACTCATCCTTTCCCGGCGAGTTCATGAAGATGATCTGAAGTTTGAAATATGTATGTGTACTTCTGAAATTATGAATCCTACGCGGTGCGATGTAAGATAGAGAGATCCATTCTTAGTTCCTTTGAATGTCGGATGCTCGTACTTTTCGAATTTCAGCTTGACATTCGACGAATAGAGGAGAATCCTGAAAAACCGCATATGCCCAAACTTCCAGAAAAGTTTTTTTCTTACATTTCCCCATTGTAGATCAAAACACCTTTTCCATCGGGAGTGTGAGAAGTGTTGAGCGACATCTTAAAAAGAAAAACTGAAAATAAATCCAATTTAAAATGTTGAGAAAAAATGAGACGAAAACTAATATGAAAGTATGTGAATGTGTGTGCGTTGAGCAAACGTGGACAATTCTAGAACACACATAGACACTAGCACAATGATAAACGGAAAAGGAGAGAAGAAGAGGAAAACGCGTGATGATGAAATATGCCAACGACATCAAGAATCACCAGAACAATTGGAATAGGGCACTAAAGAGAGCATTAAAAATAGAGAGAGAGAGACAGAAACAAAGAGACATTGTCGTAATCGAGCAGTTTCTCGAAATGAGGAATGTTCGACTTTGCCGAACGCGGAAGTTGTCTTCATGTCAACCGAGAGATCTTATCATTGAGAAGGAATCGGGAAAAAAGTCATTTCGAATGATAGCAAAGTAGTAAATCAGAGTGTCGTTTTGCGGTTACACTCAGAAAATGAGTATCACACTGATATTTCGAAATGCTGACTAATGACATTTTTTTTAAGTTAAAACATTTCGAATGCTTCGAAAAACTCAACAACGTTGAAACCATAGCAACAATCAATTTCCAATCCACCACGGAGCTAGCATTTGCTCGAGTACACACCGGCTCAATTGCCACCAGATAAGTAAGAGACACTCGTAAATCGACAACGAGATACGCCTCATAATGGCCGCACAGAAAATTGCAAAATGACGCAGGGCCGCTCGCATTTTTTGTTAGGAGAGGGAAATGTGACAGACGATTGAACTTGGTTGTAGATTTACGGTGCTGGCTCTTTCTTTTTTCCCTCTTCTATTTTCGTTCTAATTCTCATGTCTTGTTGACAAATTGCGCGCCCGCATTTTGCCGATATCTGCGCCGCATTTCCCACCAAGGTTCGGAATTCGCTTCGAGACCATTTTTGATTAAATGTTATATCTAGTGGTGATTTACAGCGATTTGCTGGAATTTTTCGAAAGCTTTTTTGAGAAGAAGCATTGACCGCCGGAAAGGTTTATGTTCACACAAATAATAAAACAGGTCGCATTTGAGGATTTCCAAGACAAAATCACAACGTGTTCATAGCAATATGAAAATTATTTTTTCAACAGAGACAAGAGAACTAGGCAATATGCCATTTCAAAATGACGGACATGCATAATGTTATACCGGCAACTTTTCACAAAGTTGATAAAAATTTGTCAGAGAAATGCACATAATATTGAAAATTGAAAGTTTGTATGGGAAAACAAGAATGAAATTCATTATGGACGGAAAATTTGAAGGAGATCCTTGATCGGAGCTCGGCAAACTGGGCATGTTGGTTCACCAGTTTTCATGATGGCCTGTCCGCATGGATAGCATACGCACATATGCCCGCAGGTGTATAGTGCACAATTCACTGCTGCATCCATGCAAATCTGAAAAAAAAAATCAAAATCTTGAAAGAAAATTGAAGTCCATCTTACAGTGCACTCGTCTTCGCGTTTATCCGCATCCGACTGTTGAGTTGAAGATGATGATGCAGTTGGCATGTTGCTCGGCAATTTTGGTGGTGGAACTGGTGGCGGATTGCTGATAGCTGGTCTAGTCTGTAATAATTTATCTCATTCTTAATCAAGTGCCTTCAAGTTACCAGCGGAACTGCAGGCACAGCTCTTCCGGAGACAGACGGAATTGAAGACAGATCGTCGAGATCTGTGATCCTGCTAACCACGGGTCTTGGCGGTGGTGGATATGGCGGAACTCGAGGCTCCTGAAAAATATTTTTTTGAAAATTTATGCTTAAATAAAAATAAGCGTACTGGTCTCTGAGCCACTGGTGGTGGTGGAACGAGCGGCGCCTGGTCGACTGCTGGCACTGAAATATCAATATCAGAATTTTTGTAACCAAAATCTTCCTTTTTTGCTAAAGGAATAACGCTTACTGTTGACTCGAAGCATTGGTGACTGGCTGTTCGAATTTCGTGGTGCTGGAAGTGGCGGAGCAGCTCTGTAAAATTCGAAATGTGTTATTAACGTTCAGATGATATCAACCTTCTTGGACGTGTTGGAATGCTAAGCGGCTGGCTTCTCGTTCCTGGATTCTCTGAAGTGATGGCAGGCACGTTGGCAATAGAACGACCATTCTGCGCCACTTGTTCCGATCCCAACAATCGAATCGATGTTGTAGATCCATATACATCGAAATACATGTAAAGACTGAGTGAAGCGTCGCAATAGAAGATAACGCGTCCTTCACCATCATCCATCGAGAATTTCACCTCTCCTACAATGGGAATCATAAATGAATTCAGATTTTCAATCAATATTTACCAGATTGAAGAATCCAGAAGCTCAGTTTTGCTCCGGCCGCCGGTTTGACAGCGACATCCTTAATTCCAACCCAATAATCGGGCAAATCAATAAGTAACGCCGAATCATCTGGGAGATCGCTATTAACCAATGTTGATGGATCACAGCATGTCAATCCGAACGCTAGTCCTCCACTGTATAATGGCTCAACCGATTTGATCTACAAAACGTTGGACAGTTATATCAGGATCCGAATAAATAGGACATACGAGAATCGTGACTTTCTCAGACCTGCGAACCGGGCGCTCGGTGAACACATATCCCTGATGATACTCCGAATCATTGCGAGTAGCCTCATTTCTCGCCGCGTTCAAGACAACATTACGGCCGGTAATGTGATGAAAACGAATAAGCGAACCTGAAATGATGTCATCGTTTCTAGAGATCTTTCGGTCAGTCGGCAAAATGATTGATAACGCGGAAATTCCGTGAGCAAACATTTGAAGAAATAAGCAAATAAATATGATTCACACGATGTTCCTTAATCATGTATGAGTGAAACAATTAATGAAATGGTAGACTATGGGTGGTCAGAAATGTTTGGAGAAATGTTGGCAAACAACATCGAAAGTTGAGAAAGGTTTGTTGAAATGCTCACAACTGCCTCTCAAATTTGTTGATTTTTGTGAGCAGCTTCCTCGCAGCCAACGTGAAGTTGGGAAGAAATTTTTCTATAGAAATTCAAAAAGATTTGAAATAATTTACCAGAGTGTCTGACATCCATTCTCTCATTTTGAGTGTTGTCACGCGCATGGAGATGATTTTGTGGCAATACCGGTGGTGGAACGGCTGGAGCGCGATTGATCGGTACCGGCGGTATCGGATCGCGTCGTCGCACAACAAACTCATTGGCATCTGAAATGTGCAAAAATTTGTCTATCACGTAAAATCCCAATATGCCCAATTGTCTTACGTTTTCCGGTCAAATCCCAATCAATTAGATTAATATCATCCATATTCAATTACCTAAACTAATTGCGAATTTCTGTAATTGTCGGGATGAACGAAAGAATTAATGATGCGCCGAAAAACAGTTGGTTAGGAGAGAATTGAACGCAAAAGAACGAGCCGTCGAAAAATGACGATTTGTTGTAAAAGTTTTGTTTACTGCAAGGCGAAAAGAAAGAGAAGGATGGCCGCGTTGCAGAGTCGGTGCTATCGAAATGCCGCCCTGTTTGCTGGTTTCGTTGACTGGACACCAGTTTGACACCGGTTTCTCTGGCAAAACATCGACGGACGGTCGCTTGCCAATCAATAATAAAGTTGCGCGAGCCGCAGGCGATGGAATATGCAAAACAAAAAAAAAAACTACACGCGACTTTATGCGTACAGCACGCGCGCGCGTGCGCGGCAATCAATGGTGCCGACGGCCGTGGATGATTCATGCGAATCATATTGTTGAAGTTTTGAGGGTGGAAAGAAAAAAACTAACAGTGTCAAGGTCTAAAAAGAAGGAACACCGCGCAAATATGCAAAGTTGAAAAAAAAAGTTGTCATGTTTATTCTAACCCCTTCCAACTACCATTATAAGGAAAAGTGGTCTCCCTAATTAGGAAAAATTTATAGAAACGCATTCTTCAGTGTAATATTTCAGCTTTCGCAAAAAATATTGGTTTTCCAATTAGCGATGTCTAAAACGATCAAATTTACAATGCGAAATTGAAAACCTTTTGAGGGCAAATGTTATTGATTTTTTTTATTTGACTCTCAACGGATGATTAATTTATTATGAATAACAGATGCGAGCTGTTTCTCAATGAAAAAATAATAATTACTCAAATTGAGTTCCCAATTTTGACATTTAATATTGAAAAGCAACCAAGCACTTTGAACTCACTTAATATTGTCAAATTTTCAAAGCAAATATACTTACCTAAAAATTCCAAGGCGACCGAATTTCCATAAATATCGAGAATCAACCACATTGGGAGATGAACATTGATACCGGTGAGAAAAAGACCCTAAAAACTTGCTAATTAATTATAAATATTATTTGAAATGCACCTTTTGTGAGCCATTCAATCCGTAATAAAGTTCTCCAGTAGCATTAATGAAGAAGTGAAGAACATTCCCTTCGATTGAGTATCGTTCAGGTAGAGCTTTTGCCCAATAGCCTTCTTTAGAAGTGAGATCCGGGCAGGCAAATCTGAACCAATACAAGGTTAAAAATTTTTTTAAAGTAGGGGGTGCTTACTTGGGTACCGGTATGTTGCGATAAGTCTCTGGATCAAAGTTTGTGACGCCAAAACGAAGAACACCTGACCAGTTCGAGGAAACTTCACTCAATTTCAAACACACATTCTCATCAATATCAACAGGCCTGTAAAAAAGAATTTGCATAACTCGATGCAAAATTATTTTTTGGTTACCTGTTTGAGAAAGCGAGTCCCTTGCAAAAGCTTTCCTTTCTTCGGGCAACTCTACCGTTCTTCAATAGCACCACATTGGTCCCGTGAACTGTGTGAAATGCAAGTGGCGGGCGATTAAAGCTATCTGAAAACACAAAAATTTTATTTTGATGTATCGCTATTAAAAGTTTCTCACTTTGGTTCATTATTTGTCGAGTAGTTTCGTCTATATCGGATTCGGCGAATGTATTGACTATATCTGAAAATTTAAGGAATTTTGATATCTGGCATTTAGTATCGATATTTCGAAATTGGTATTACACCCCGTTCGATGTTGAAGATAATGAAAAGTGATCGCATACGCAGTGATTCAAATCGATGCAATTGTGAGCACAACGAAACGAACGTAGCACCGCTCATTACAACGAAAATGATGCGGATGATGGAGCCGGATGCTTTTTTATCCGTTGAGCTATTTTTCTTTCCAACTCCTCCACAAACCTCGAACTTGCCGTTGATAACGATTGAATCGATTGCAAAGCTCGTCAACAGAAGTGCAATTCGAATATGAGCTGCCCGCAGAACGCGTCGGCTGGTATCTCGAATAGGAAACCGATCGATCAAGGAAACGGTTCGATGAACGTTCGGGTGCCGGCGAATCACGATCATCAACGTAACTTGAAGCGCGATACTCCGTCATCTGCACCATTATATAATTGACGACTTCACCCGATCGACTATAGTGAATTGAATTGAAATGTCCAGATGTGAATAAGTGTTCAAAGGGCCACCAAAGTCTCGTGAAAAAAATATATCACACGACTGACTTGCACAACACCGCAGCTCGTGTTGCCCGATAGGTGCTTGTGATCTTGACTGACACGAAAAATAGACGACAAAATACTTGATGTCACTCAGGTTCAAACCGATTCTCGATCACTGAGAAAAGCAAAAACATCACAAAAAAACGGCTTGTCGAATGATAATTGGATGAGATTCAGAGAGCAATTCTTATTTGCCGACTACTTCACAATTGTTTTGTTTTCATCAATAGTTTTGTGAAACAACAACAATCGTATTGTTGTCCTCATTGGAACGAGTGTCGATTGCATTCGACTGAAAGAAGAATCAGCAAATAGATGTATTGTAGGCTAGAACCTTCTTGCAAAAACTGTTCGCCAACGACTACCCAAGGTCAATCATGTGATTGCAACGACACAAAGAATAGAGGATTTGAAATAAAAAATGTAAGAAAGGATCGCTTTAGTTCATTTTCAACTATCGATTTTGATTTTGAAGCACCAACCCTACAAACCGTTATAACCTTAAATTTTTTGTCAGCTTTAAAGAGAGAATCAGAATTTGTTTGCGAAGTTGTTGTAAAAGTTTGGCTAACATAATAATTGAAGTGGTCAAATTTTTTGAAAAAAAATTTGCAACTTGTGTTTCTATGGAAAACGTGCATTAAACAAGAACAAAAAGAATTTTCGGAGAAAACGTGATTGACAGCTAATGGCTACAAAAACAGAAATTAGTAGATTGAAAATACATTTCTATGTGACGGCGAAAGTTAATGCTGAGCCATTTTTATTTCGATTTCCGGTGTGACCAAAATATGAGGTTCCCCGAAAATGTTCATTAACTTTGATTGAGTATAGCAATAAACTAATACAAATAATTATATCTCAAACCATGTAAAAACTAAAAGAACAGTTTCTTTAAATAAACGAAATTGGCATTTGTTGGCCAATTCAACAAATGTCGCAGAGCAGAGTACAATTACTAGGGTGAAAAGGGTTTGTTCAAGCACACACACCCCACACCTGATTCAAATAGGCTATGATGAAAAGTAAATATTTTTTTACGTAAACGAAAACTACATTATTATTTATGATCATCTGCGTTTCCAGATGTTTGTAAACATAAATATAAATGTTGGTTTTGGTGAGATTCATTCATCAAACATTATTGATGTAGAAATTTTTGAAGTATTAAAAAAGTACCTTTAAATTCGCGTGAGGTATCGTTGCCCATGAAACCTGCAATAAAATGAACTGAAAAAAAAAGTGTCGAGCGATTCAACGCTATAAACAAAACGACCATCAAAATATAGTGTAAAAACACGCGAAAGAAAACAAGTTTCAATCGATGAATTGAGAAATAAAGAGACATTGTTGGACGAAGGTTAGGCTAATCTGAAGAAAAACAAATGTAGCGATGTCTCGCAGTGGAGCGTGTTTGCGCGCATATCCGCTTCGCATAAGGTCAGATTTTGTCACGCAGTCTGGTTTTGCGGACGTTTGACTCTCGCATTGCTCGTTTTTGAGGCAGCACGTTACACTATAAAAGGGAGACTCTGACATTGTGGATTATTCAAATATTACGATTAGTCAGTGAAAATGTTCCACACAGACACCCGACAATTTGAAACGATGTTCTAGTTGAAAAAAAAAACAACGAGATTGCTGTGCAAATAAACTATGAGGTTTGTTCGGCCTCTTTAAAGGACGAGGGAGTGGTGTGGAGTTTTTGATACTGATAAATTCTTTTAAGCAGTCACCGCAAACAGAAGAATTGCTATGTTTATTTAAATATTCATTCACACTGTTTAAGGCAATTTTTAAATTAATTAGTCAGAATTCAAGAAAAAACATTTAAATGATTTTCTAATGAAATATTGACTATTCCACAAATGACTCAGACGCAACCCAATCGGCGATTTTGCTTATTTTTATTTCAGAATATTTTATTAACTGTAAACAGCTAAAATACACGTATTTGTTTGCTGAAATATTTTAAAGCTGACTGACGTTTCTAATGTAAATCTAAACTCGAAATTTTTTGAATATTCAGCGCAAACAAACTTTTGATGGATCATATTCTCAATATACATGTTTTAAAAAATTGCAATGAATGTATTTAGCATGTTTCAAATTAAAATATGCATAAGACGATTTTAAATAAACAACAACATCTTTGCAAATGGGAACGTGAAGTTGTGCTATTTTTTCAATGCTTGCCCATGCTCAACTTCCTATGATATTTCGCACCCAGTTAAAAGAAATTAATTTTTTTCTTAAAAAAAACCACTACCATGAAAATTCCTTGAATGTACAACTTCCGTGGTTATTTGCAAATCGTGTTATTTATCCAGTGAATATAAACATGATATTACCTTAAGCTTCACGTTTCCATTAAATCTATAAATATTACTCCTGAAGCGCAGTTCGGTCATGAAAAATGAAATGAATAAATCCATCTCTCAAACAATTTTATTGTGTCGAAAACAATTATGAAGATGAAATGGGGAAAAATGGATGTAGCTAGGGAAAAAAAATGAAATTACAACAAAAAGAAACAATAAAAAGTGAATCGCTAAAAAAATGAAAAAAAAAAACATTTATAATAGAATATACTCTCATGAGCAATGGAATCCTTATTAAAGTAGGATATTATAAGAAGAGGTATGAATCAGAAAGAATGGCTAATTTAAATTTATTCAATCGATGTCAATGAAGATTAATTTAAAATGGGTATGTTATGGGTTTCAAATTACTTAATTTTCGATTTCGCAAAATCGGTGAAGAACTGCGAATTTTTGAATTTACGCTCTGGCTAAATATAATATGCAAGTACATTAAAATGCATATTAGGCAGACACGCACGGTTCCTTTTGCGTCAACACTGAAACCGACTCTATAAAACGTTAAAGGTATTAATATTGCAACAGAAACAAAACAATTTAACGTTTAATGAATTATACAATTTAGCCTACAACGAAATAAAACAATTCGAAAAAAAAAAATGTTTTCAACGGTTTTCAGAAAATTGGTTGTTAACAAAAGAACAAATAGAAATGATTTTCTTCATATTTTCGATATGAAGGTGCATTAAACCTCAACGCTTTTTGATATTGCGAGTAATATAAGGCAATCGGTCCTAGAAAACGTGAATAATCCCCCCTCATCCAAAAAACACGTCATCGGACTCAGCCATGTTGTCCACGAAGCGTTCTCCGGGCTTCTCGACGCTGCCCATCAACATATAGCTAAAAAATAAGAATAAAAATCGTATTTTAAAAAACGTGCTACCTGTCTTTTTTTTGAGACTCTTTGCTTTGAATCAACGAATTCGGCGATGAACACCTTGAGCATGGGAATAATGCGCTCAATTCCTCATCGAAACAATTATTTTCCTCATTCGATCCGGAAATCCTAAAGTATTAAAATAATGAATTTAGAATGATTGCTATTAAAGCAGAAAAAAAGTTAAAATAAACGAAAGCTATCTTAAATAATGACTTGTATTGCTCGCTGCTAAATATTTCGACTATATTGGCATGCGCCTTTGAATATCTACAGTTGTCTTTGCATGAAAATGTTTGTCAATATTATAAATTTTTTTTTTTGGAGAACCCAGCGAAATCCGGGTACGAATTTTGCCAAAAAAAGTATGCAAAGTTTAAACTCACATGCAACTATAGTCATCAGGTGGAAGTAGCTGCTCCCAAATGTGATCTTTTTCGGAAAATGTCGAAATCATTGCATTCGACGATAACTTGTTAGTTTTATCGACGTGGGCTTGCTGATTTGAGACTTGTGTAAGATTGGTCTTGTCATTATTATTTCTTTCGATCGGCCTAAAAATGAAACAAAAAATTTGAAGTGAAAGTTTTGAACATACTCCGCATTTTCGTGAAGCTGCAAATTTTTAGGCATTTCTCTGGAAAGATCCGTTGTGTGTTGCTTAAAATGCGAGCAGATGATCGAACTGCAAGACGCAACATTCAAACGTTGATCTGATATCTCAGAATTATTTCTAAATGAAAAAAAGTTTTTTTTCGTTCAATCCTTATTATCATACTTATTTGATTCCTCTGGACCATTATTATTGAATGTAGTCCAATTGGTTGATTCCATTGTTAGATCGCGCGAAAAACTAGCGTACATATCCAAATAATCGACATCAGTTTCCAGAAGCTGCTGCTTTTCAACGATATTTGTAGGTCTACTCACAATTCTTTTAAAATTTCTAAAATTCATGAAAATGGAAAATTTTTGCATTTGTGAAGTATACGGTTGTGATTGTTGTCGGTGAGATTGTTGCGTTGGCACATTTTGACTTTTCGAAACAGTAATAGGATATTTTGTATTTCTGAAAAGTAAAATTCATATTTAAAAAAATATATATTAAATCATACTTTGGATTTCTGCTGGATGGCCCAAAAATGTGAAAACCGCGAGTATGGTTTGTATTCTTCTGATTCGCTTTTCCATGTTTGTTTTTCGGTACAGTTGAGCGAAATAAATTTATTCCGTTACCGTGATTTGGAGCTTCTTTTGACTTTTTATGTCGAAACCCTGCTAAAAGCCTTGGTTGAAACGCTCGAAGATCTCCATTGAAAGTCGAATATGTGCTAAAATAAAATCCGTTATTTACAATAGCAAAATGCTCCAATACTTCTCATCATTCTTGAAAATTTGAGGTCCATCCTTAAGGTGTAGCACCTTTTTTACTATACGAGGTCCTCTATATTCACAAGAAGGCTTACGAATAATTTGTTGGGAAGACTGCAATTTTACTCTGAAAATTATTTTCCTGATTTTTAAATCCTTTTTCAATAAGTTCAAATAATTTAATTGCTTAAAAGCATTATTTCAAAACGCATGAAATGTTTCTTACCTAAAATTTTTTGCAATACTTCTTGCTGCACCATTGTTGGAATTCATTTTTGAAACATCCAAAAATATCTGAAAATTTTTATTGCTTTGGTAAAAATAACGAATTGGTGTCTTCTTCGACATTAATTGTAAGATATGAATGATGGCATAAATGTTACCACCAAGAAAGCAAATAATCAAGGACTATGATGAATCATCAAACTCGCATTCTCTCTCGCTCGAGTAAAACACGACTGCTTTGCTTCCGTGGCGGTAATTGATCATCAATTTTCAAAACGAATACTGACTGTTTCCCGATTATTATAAAAATTTGAAAGACTAAAATCGTTTTACGAATATTTCGCTAGTAAGAAGGCATAGGAAAAATAAGCATAGCCGAGAATTTAAATGCGACGCGCACCTTTTCAAAACAATTGGTAAATTGCCAATCAATTTTCATTATATGCGAGTGCGATGCCGAACATCTTTGAATGGTGCTCTTATTTGCTACTTTCGATTTTTCTTTGTGAGAATATCGAATTCGGATTTTTTTCCCTCATTTTTTTAAAAATATTTCGAATAGGAAAAAATGTAATGACAATTTGAATTTTCATGATATGTGATAAAATTCGAGAAAAAATTATAAAAATCAGAATTCGAAAACGATTATTGAGAAAACGTTCCAAAATTCTGATATGCAACTATAGTGAGATTGAAAAAGAAAAATTTATAAAATTAAAATAAAACGTTGAAAGACAAAAAGAAAACCAACAAATATGCATGAATCGTCGAATATAGGCAAGACGCGAGACTGAGCCGCTTTCAAATGTTCGAAAAAGTTGCCGCGCGACCCCGCCTATTGTTCGCTCGATGATTGCGGCATTGCCAATGAGAAATTCAAATTTCTTGGGTTAGACTACATCTGCTATGTAAACAAATGAGCGATCACCAAAAATCGACGATTTTTGTTTCGAAAAAGGCAATTTGCTAGAGCATAACATTTTTTTAAAGGATGTAAGAAAAAAGGCGATATATGGAGTACTGCATCTCACACCGAATATCAACAGGAAAATTCTCACAGTTAATTTTTGTAGCGTGCATAACAAATGATTTTTACTGAACAACAATTTTAATTGGTGCTATTTATTTGATTGTGGAAAATAATAGTTGGTATTGTTGATTTATTCAAAATATTTTTGAATCGAGAAGATATAAACATCGCGAAGGAAAGTTTTCATAGATATCAGAAGTTTACTCGTATTTTTCTGTTCCTCCATTTTGATCGAAAATGACAATGCTGACGCTCAAACCTAAAAAAATCCATATTATACAATTGATATATGGAATATCATATCATATACTATGCAATTTTCGTTTGCCCATTGCGTTACAGTATATCAATGATGATCTTATTGTAAAATATTTCGACGCATCTACATTTTGCAGCACACTGTTGCACTTTTTCTTCCTGAAACTTTTGTAACTTTTTCTGAAACTTCCTGAAACTTTTGTAAAAAGCTAGTTAATGATAGTAGACAAATTCTGAAGCTCATGATGCAAATTTGAAATGTAGAATAATACTACAAAAAAAAAACTCGGCGCCAAAATTTAATGAATTTCGAACCGTTTTTGTCAAAATCTGTTCCTTTCAGGGTTAATTGATTTAGAAGAATTGAATTCAAACAAATTTTACACCATATGAAACAAACTTGCACGGAATAACATTTTTTCTTCCGTCAAAAAACGGAACACGGAAACCGAATTCCGTGCAGTTTCGCAGATTTCGATTAATATTTAACAGTATTTAATATATCATGCGTATTTCTCTTTTCTTAAAAATTACGTTTGGACAAAAGAATTTTTGCTCCGCCCCCTCTCTGTAAATTCATAGAGCATTCAAAAATAAGAGATTTTTTGGACATTTGGCGTCGATTTGCAGTTCGTTTCGACAAATGCGCTCCATTACAAGTTTTGCACCGACTCCAGTGGCACTATAAATAGCCGGCAGAATTCGCAATTTGGTCATTCTCGCAGCTCTCCGAGTTGTGAGCAGCCCACATATCATGCGAGCTTGTCGTGCCCCGCATAACCTGCGGGCTACGCGTCGAGCCCCGCATATCATGCGGACCCGCCGTGCCCCGCATAACCTGCGGGCTCCTCGTCGTGGTTCGCATATTCTGTGGGCTGGCCGTTACCCGCATTTCCTGCGGGCTCGCCGTGGCCACGGATTCACTCGGTATGTCAAAATTCTTTGCAATCCCTTTTCTTAACTCTTTGAATTACAGATCCAATGTGCCACAAGTCGTTTCTCATTCGAGCTCTTCGGATGTTATGTGTTGAAAGTGTCGGGGATTCTCGACTGGTGCGGCTCCGTTAGCCAGTACTAACCCTACTGCAGTGCCGCGTCCAGGCTGACGTTAAACCCACATTCATGAGTAGACATGTCACGTGAAGATGAGCAAGAAAGAGAAATGGCGAAAGGTCGATGCTGCCCGAGGCATCGAGTAGAGCGAGGAAGCAAAATCTAATGGTAAGGAAGGAGTCATCATCTATCAGAATAACTCGAATCATTGCAGGAATTTTGAATCGAAGGAATCTAATCGAAGCCATGTTTCAAAGGAGCGACAAGAAGAGGCAAAAACGTGGGGTATTTGGTATTTTTATTTATTTACTTTTTTACTTTTTTTTTCTTATTATTTTTTACTTTCCCCAGTCGTACTACTTACGGCTTTCTCTTCTATATCCCACCACTTGGGATACCCTTTTCTCTCCGTACATTCGTACCACTTACGTCTGTACTTCCTTCCGGTCCTACCGTTTGGGACCATCTCTTCTTCTTTTTCTGGGAATGCCGGCTTCCCTATCCTTTTCTTGCCACCAGTCGTACCACTTGCGGCTGTCCCTTCTCTCTATCAGTCGACTGATTCCCTATTCTTCCTGCCGTACCACTTGCGGCTCCCCTTTCTATTTCCCTCCACTTGGGATTCTCCATCTCTCTCTCTCGGTCCTACCGTTCGGGACCAACCATCTCTTCTTTTTTTAGGGGAAAGTCGTACCACTTACGGCCATGCCAGTCGTTCCACTAATGACTGGCTTCCTCTTTCGTATTTTTGTTTTATTATTTTACTTTTTATCTTCTTTTTTATTATTCGTATTAATTTATTACTTACTTTATTATTATTTTATTTTACTTTTTAAATTGTTTTTTCAGATCTTTTTAATTGTTTTCAGATTTGTTTGCGTTTGTATGTTTAGGTATCGTCACTGCTGCAGTCGCCGATGGAAGGATACCGTAACAAGGTATCTCACACCACTAAGACTTCGAATCTAACATCCTAAGTGTCCCTAGCCTACTTAATCCGCCGTAGTCGGCAATCTTTAGGCCGTAGTCGGCAATTTTTAGGCCGTAGTCGGCAAATCCCCAAAAGCGCCGAGGCTTCCCGTCCCCTTTAGTGCCGAGGCGTTGGCTGGATGGCGGCTTATCCGCTGTATCCTAAACTCGGGTGATTGGCCTGGCAAGCCCTTCAGCCCTGATTCCGTAGCCGGGAATCGAACCCTACCCAAACGTCCGTTTCAAGTACTCTCGAGTGTTTGGAAACTGCTAGTGGGCGTTATGGATGGTTATGCTTTAGAAATTTGCTTCACCGGGTGTCCTCCATACTAGTTAGGATGTCATCTGGACCTGACCTATATTGACGTGGTTTGGCCAGCTATGTCAATATGTCCAGCCTTTCGGGTGCACATGGACCGTGCTTCTTGGCATAGTAGCTTGCTACATTGTAGTGGCTTGCTGCTACTTTGTAGGAAGCTGCTGTGCTGAGAAGACAAACCAAATTACCATATCACCAGTAGACCCGGGGCCCAGCCAGACGTGGCTTGCACAACCACTTCTACTTCTATTATCCTCGGATGATAGTTGTGGGATGTCCTTGTGTGATCCCCATGGTGGGATCGGCGATGACCCACATCAGGATTCGGCCTGATGCTGGTGAGCCTCTCCTTCAAGTGCCGAGCCTCTACGTGGCGAAGGAGATCAACTGCCTCGGTCCTTTTTGGGCCGTGTCAGGCTAATCGGCACACGAATCCCAACGGCCCTCTGCCATCAGATATTCATAAATCATGTGTTAGCTTGTAATGTGATTGAACGCAAAAAACCTAAATTTTTCCTATTACATCAAGCATTTATTCAATAAATTATAAAAATTAATAAACTTTGACATTCAACTCAAATTCTACTTAGACGGTAATTAGTCATTTCCAGATTATGGGTGGTATAGAATTGGGGTTTCTACGCAAGATAGGTTATGCAGAGCGATAACGGTTTGAAGATGGAAAGGATTGGTGAAAAATTAAAACGTTTTCGTCATTGCAAGTTTCGGTGAATAATGAGTATTTGTATGTTGCATTTGGTTTATGAGTCAAGACCGTTTGAATATCTTATTAATGATTTTATAAAGGTTTATGACTTATTGGAAGCAAGTGAACACTAATTCTTAAAATTAGAATTATTGTGAATTCACATGTCAGCTTTGGGTGAGCATTAAATTTTGATTTTCGAGATCCCAATTAATTTTTTTGTATCTCAGGTTCATTTTTGATGTTTCCATTATCTTTTCTCTCCAACAGTTATCTCGAGCCATTTTAATTTTGAAGTCCTTATAACCATATAATTATAATTCGATATTTCATACTACCAAAATTGGTATGTCTTTTCCCATAAATTCGCGCTACATGCAATTTTTCTTCTCGTTTTTATGTCAACGGCGTCAGACAATGAAAACGACCATATCCGACGTGCAATAGCTTCAACGCCACGGTTAACATGTACTGACAAGCAATAGAAAAAATAAATAAAGAAGTTTAATCAATATAAAAGTCAATTTTTAAAATCCCTGTCATGAAAATAATTAAAACTTTTCAATCATTTTATTTTATAAATTTTTTTGAAGGGCTCGAAACCCAACGTCAATCAAGCATGTTCTTATAAAAAATAAAGTTACCTAAAACCTATCACGTTGTCTCAAATTTGTCAATCATTCATAATTCCCCTGAAATTTTACACCTGCCTTCATTATCAGAAACACAAAACTGAAACATTTATCTGAAATAAAATCAATGCGAGAATGCATTCCTTTTGGACATCTCATTCCGCAGAAATCAAAGACGTAACAAAAAAGAAATTAACTCACACAAAAAAAAAATATGATGTCAAGTTATATCATTCAAAACGTAGGATAACAACTCGCTTTCGTGGCACCTTTTTGAATAGTAATTTCCATGTTTGATGAGTACTGCTCGCCAAACAAAATTTTGAACAAGGCTATCTGATAAAGCGAATTGACTACTTTTTCTTTGTTAAAACTCTTTCATCACAAATCGAACTATTTTTCTAACAGATTTAACCTGACACATATAAAAAGATTGCAACAGCGATAAAATATCACTTAAAACTTTTGGGGTAATTTTCTGGGTGCGATTAAATTTAGTTTTTCGCTGTTTCCCGTATTATAGCAAAATCATAACCTTCGGCATTAATGTGAAATTTTTAAATAGTTTAGAAATGTTCTAAGTATAAAATGTAAAATGCAAAATGGTGAAGGATAAGACAGATTAATGAATAACCGAATATTGAGGATCAATGAAAATAAGCCATAAAATGGCTTAAAACTGCAAAAATTGAAGATGGCCGAAGCAAAATACATATTATTTACGATATCCAATATCGGAGGACGACATCCGACGTCATCGCGCATGTAAACAAAAAAACAATATACCGTATGCCTGATATTGTGTCACATTAAACTAAATGGGTGGTTTTAAAACAGAGAACGAAGATAAATTGGTATTTTTGGTACGTGAATTACAGAAACTGAATTTTCAAAAGAATCTGAATTTTCATTAATAAACAATTTATGTTATATTAAAAACGGAAATGTTAAAAAAAGAAACATGTAAAAAATATTCTATTCGAATTTTTGACTACCCTTAAGCTTCACGGAATCCCTAAAAAAATACTATGCATATTTCTGGACAAAAAATCAAGTAAACGGTAAAAACCCTTTAAAATTCTTTGCGAACTTCCAGTTTTTTTTTTGAGAATTCTTTCAAAACCTTTACTTTTTAGATATTTCATGATTTCCTAACCAACCTCGCACATTGTGTTCTAAGCTGTCACAATTAAAGTAAATTCCAAATTTTCTTTCGCAAAAGGTGGATTCATAAATCGTTCAGATCCAATTATTTAAACCATAAATTTCAAGGGACCCGATATTGCGTTGCTCGTCATTCCATTATTTGACAATTCGTATTGTGACGAACGTCGGCAGACACATTAATTTTCCAATACACCGTATTCCAGAAAATTGTGGGTTGAACAATCGGCTCCACCCACGACAACAAATGAAAGAGCAAGCTTTTTTCGGATGGCACCCTCTGAAACCTGAATGGGCGTGAACAAAATTTCACATCAACCTTGAATAATAGGCTTCGCTGTATAAAAGATCACCTGCGAATTCACTGTTTTCAGTTCGTTTCGCTCGTTTGCTTCATTTAGACAAAACAGCAGTTATTGTATCCCCCGGTTACCAAATCATATGCTTTTCCAAGCACTCTTGCTCGTTGAGATTCTAAAGTTACGTAAGAGCAGGTGATTGGAGGAGAAAACTCTTAATGTCACTTGTCGCAGAATACATATTTTATAAATAATTTTATCAAATCATGTTAGAAATTTTTATAAAATATGCCACCATCTTAGACAAAAACTGATATTTTGTCTACATTAGACAAGAAAGATGACAGTTGCTTGAGAAATATGTTGTGCTAAATTAAGCGGACAATGTTGCAGGCTATATCGATTTTAAGGATTTTTTCTGAAAAATCTGGTAAGGCTTTTTTCAGCTTCATCTCTAACCGTAAATTCTACTAGAGACGCTACGTAATACTATCGCAAAAAGTAAGAGAAACCTAGGGGTTTGCGGGCCATAAAATGTCTTTGGCGCGATATTCGATTTAAACTGTAGGAATTGTTGCGGTAGTACAGATAACTTGCATATCAAACTCAAGGAAATTTCTGGGTTTTATTTAATATTTGACAATTATATCTACAAAATTTCTTAAAAACATTAAATTATCAGTCAATAACGTACCACTTCGAAATTTTTGAATTTTTTTTTCTGTGCAGGTGTTTTAATATTACGCAGGTAGTATGCGAAAATATCCAGACGAAGGGCAGTCCGCCCTATAAAACATCTTGATTAGTATAGTTCAACATGATGTCTAGCTTATTTCGATTCCAATAATCTTCATTTTCCATTACCACTGCTTCAAACGACATTCCTTGAGAATATCCATTAATCTTTATGCAATTTCCTCTTTTTATCCAATGTTACCGTAGGCGTTGCGTATCTTCCTTTCCAATCTCGAAGGCATCTTTTATAGTGTCTATTGTTTTGTGCTCATTTCATTGACAAGTCGCGATACAAATGCGAGAACCTATTAACTCTTCTTGTTTTCCGGTATGAAATTGCTCCTTTGGTGCGCACTATTTGTGCACATCGCCATGGTGGCGGCTAGATCATGGAATCCGAAACATCAACGATTCGATGACATGCTTCTTGTAAGTTCAAACAATCAAAAATGATGATGATGATGTGAAATTTCTAGGAAACCCAAGGGTTTCGACCACGCTTGTCCCCGTACCGTCGCGATCGCCGTGATTATACCGACCGAATGGTCTGCAAAAACATTGAGACCGATATTGTTCGCGATCTGATGGAGCTCATTTGCTCAACGTGCCATGAGCTTCAATCGCACTTTGAGCCGGACACACGTCCGAAATGCAGGTATCAAAATCATGTTATGAATAATTACTACGGAAATATTGTTATAGAGAGGATTGCTTCAACAACAATACGTTCCGTCGCTGTCTCAAACTTTTTACCGCAGTACCATCAAGGGAATACCGCAATGATCCATTTGCGCCGGTCTTACTCTATTCGACCAAGTCTGAATATGTTAACCGAAAGTAAAATGCGGCTGATCAATGTGAACGCCAACAACGTCAATGAGTAAAAAATCAAAAATTCACCAAAAAAAAAGCATTCCGCTAGTTTTTTAGTCTACATTCTACCCACTCCCCTCCCCTTACAGCAAAATTGCTGAAATTCTTTTTTTTTGCGGCATCGAAGCTCTGTTGACCCACAGATAAATATGTTTTGTTAGAGACTCCATTATTGTAAGGACAGTATTTGACAAAAACCAATCATAATATTAATAAAATTGACAGTGACAAATTTTTTGTTTCTATTATTCGTACATCATATGAAAACCAAAGGCACAGCCCCTCGCCTTATTGGATTCTTCACAAGAGTGTTGGTATTGTGACAATTGTAAAGCTCATCATCATGAATTAATATAAAAAAGGAAAGTCCCATAATATTTATTTTTTTTTTCACTTTGTTGCTATTTTTTGCTGCCTTTTTTAAGCCTTTATTGTATTTATCAAGCCCCACATAAAGGAATCGTCATTGCGCCGCTAATTATCATTGCTTCTGCTATATGCTTCGACAGCCGCCCGACCCCCCCCCCAATTTTCCCGCCTTATTTGCAGATCATTGATGTTTTGGCTTAATTTCACGACATTCCAAATAAAATGTTGCAACTTGTTAAAAAAAATTGGACCATTAGCAACATTCCATTAAGATACTTCTTGATGACTTTTTGAACACGCACTCTAGAAGAAATCAATGAGACGCCGGGCACTGAAACAATAAAACAATTGCGACGAATAGAAATCGGCATACATATTGAAGAATTAACATATATCTATTCATATGCAAATTATAATTCTTATCTGTGGAAGGAAACCGTAAGAAATTTTCCATGTTGTGATGAATTGATAATCAAACCATATTACAAGCAAAGAAAATGGATCCCTAATATAGTATCGTTCTCGTTTTCGTCCGACTTTCTTTTTAAGTCGGCATAGTTTTCTAAACTACCCATCTCGCTCTACAAAACCACATTTGAATCGGTAAGATTTCTATATCAGATGAGATTCGGCTCGGATTACGTAGTTTGGCATGAGGCCCTACAGAGCTCAGGGCCTAGTCAAGGGGTCATACTTTTATTTCAATGATGTTTACTCATAAACCTTATATTCTCACTATATTATCTCATATAAACATTTTATTTCTAAAATGTAAAAAATTTCGACTCTTGTTTCATGCAACACGAGCAAATTCTAAAAGTGATCGTTCGAAGAAGCGCAAAAGAGCGCGTTATCTTATAAGCAAACAGAAGGCCGATAAATAAATCAGTTCAAATTTTGCAACAAGTTTATGAGCATTTTCATACATATACGAATTTTTTCATATCTCTGATTCGTATCTTACTAGGCATTGTCTCGTTTCCTAATACAATAGGTTCAATGAGAATTTGTTTGACAATTCCAAAATACATAAACGGTTTGCTTATATTTTATGGGCACGACACACTGATAATATTCCACGTCAGTTTGAATGTATGAACGCAAATGTAATGTTTGCGTTATTTGAAATTCAATAGTGCGTTTAACAAAAAATACCTCTTCCTTAGGTATCGTTTTGACCTGCTTTTTGCACCTAACACAAAAGCATATTTTGGGGTTTTTGGTGATATGCTTAGATTGTTTTTTATGATGCGAATTAATCGCTAAAATGGTCGGCTTACAAATATGGTAGGGTGAACCAAAAATTCTCAATGTTGTTCCTACCCGTCTTCCTATAGATTCTCGAATTAATTGAGGTGGTATATTAAATCTGTAGTGTGTTCATTCTTTTGATTTACCCACGATTAACGTTAGTAATTTGTATTTTTTTGTTCGAAAATTTTAACTATTTTAACTATGTATCAACGTTTATAATTGTACTTTTTTAGTACTTAGCCGCAATATACCTAATATGGACTATCGAAAATGCTTCGTTATCATCACCTGCCTTGTTTTCGCGGTTTGGACCTTCTACCCGGCAACGCTTCAGATGTCGATGGAAGTTGAAATTTCTCAGCAGGAGCCCGAGCCTGATCAATTTTTAACATTCAATTTTGGGTTTAGAGCAAGACTAGGTATTTTTATTTTTAAAGAAATAAAGTATACACAAAAAAAATCCGGTCTAAAATTTTCTAACATTTCAATAGCTCGCATTTTTGAAATTTTTGAAGTATTTCTTACTTTTGAAAATTCAATAGTGAATTTTAATAAATTTTAGAATTATGTAAAATTTTCCAAACCTGCGATCAATCTATTTTTCGTTTTATTTAAGTCATTAAAATTCTTAAAAATGATTTTAAAAGGGGATATATGTACATATTAGTCAAAAACGAATTACACCCCCGATAAGCCCCTCAAAAATAAACTATTAAAATATTCAAAAAAAGACTACCCAAAAACGCAAATTTTAGCAAATCACATATTTGAGTTGGCTTCCGTATATGGAATGGCACGAGAGCTCCAAAGAACACCAGTTTTTTACATTGTGGAGAGGAAATATGAGAATCAGCTTAAAGAAGTTGAAAAAGCTCTTCCGGGACTTGTATCTCGTTATAAAATTAGGAGAGGACCGGTTCCAAAAGACGCCGAGAAAATGGATATCGGCAAAAATTGCTGTCAGTATTACGATATTGCGGGATATCGTGGTAGATCAGCTCCACTCCTCCACCTCACCGGACAATTTTATCAAAGTTTCAAATATTTTGAAAAAAATAAGGATGAGATTTTGAGTTTCGTATCACCACGCAAAGAGTTCAAAACGCTACCAATGGCGAATTCCTCCAATTTCATGTACGTTTCTTTTTTCGATGGACGCAACAAGCTCATAATTATTTCAGCTCTTGCATCCACGTACGCCGCGGGGATTTTGTTGATCACCTGCATCAAGCGACCGATCTTACCTTTACCAGAAATGCTTGGAAGAAAATCACGCAGGATGTTGGTGGCGAAGGTCGAAAATACCTCACAGTTGTTATGGGAGATGATCAGAAATTTGAAAAACAGATATTCCCATGTAGCTTACAATCCGCCAAGCAAAATTATTACTCTAGACTTTCAGACGGGCATATATCTAATAGCACTAAGCCGGTTCCATTCAACAATACAATTTGGATATCTGGCAACTCGCCAACCGACGATTTGATTTACGCGCGCTACAATTGCGATTCTGTTTTGATCACAGCGCCTTCTTCAACATTCGGCTGGTGGCTGGGCTATATATCAAAGGGACAAAGAGTTTATCATATGGATATACAGCAGACCAAAGATGCGGTTTATGTAAAAAAAATGGAATGGAAAGCCGAAACAGTATGCAATAATTTAGGTTTCCGGCCAAATGCGTGTTGAAGATTTTTACCCAGCCAGCTGGCACAAACTCAACATATCAATTTCATAAGTGCAATATTTCTCGATTTCACACTCTCTTTTCGCTCTGGCAGATAGCATTATCCAAAAATTTCCAGCAATTTTTCTGTATGTTTTGAAATCTTCTAAAAAGCTGAAAAAACTAAAAAGTAGACATTCCAGATGGCAATGTTATTGCAGATATTCTTCGACATCATATTTGAATCGAACATTGCTGGCGAAAATTCAAATTTTTCAATCCGAACTGCGAGTCGTAAAAGCAGAAAACTGCACTCAGAACTTCTCAGCATGTTTGCAATTCAATTTGGGACCATGACCATTCTTTTCGAGGGACATTGATGTTGGGATTTCTTGCGATGACTTTGCCTTTAATTCCTCCTGGCCAAGGGTTTAATTCATTGCGCTCCTTGTGGAAACAATCATCTGCGGACAGTGTTACAATAATTTCGGCCGAAGACGATCTCGCTTTTTATATTTAACAGGGTTGGACCAAAATGCGAAATATGATGCCCTATCAGTAACGGCAGCGAGACATTCGATCAAAAGATCATTCTGTTCAATAAAAAATCAACGATCTTTTATTGCAATTGACCGTAACCTTATGATAATAAACCATACATCAAATTTTAAAAAATATAGAAGCTTTGCGAAAATAAATCATCGCGTTATAAATTTTCATGATAATTGATTATCAAATTCGTCCACTCTAAAAACTCGAGGAACTTCGTTGTCTTCATTCACACCTTTTTAAACAGAATTGTAATCCGTTTACAGGACATGTGCTTCTGACTGAAATTTCTGTAATTTCACGAATACCACATATCGAAATAATCGATGAGGAGTTTGTTTCAATATGAATTTAAATTTAATTTTCTTTGTGTGAAATTTCGGTCCGGTCTATATACATATGTATTGTGTTACTATAGTAATTAATGAAATTTTTATTCGCTAGATATAAAAAATTTCAAAATTAAATTGAATGTAAGAAGAAAATGTCTACTCTTGAAACACTAGTGAAATATGTAGTTTGGATTAAAAATGATTAAGTGTTGCTTTCTTTCAATAATGAATGGATCTTATTTCTTCTTGTGGTTTATGAAGAAGTTTTTTATTTAAGAAGATATACTAGTTATTATTTTGAACGATAAAATTATTAAATTGAAGTAAAAAAATGTTATATGACATTTCTTCAATTTTTGAACGGAAGACTTCATCATTCGCACATTTTCAAACAATCATCCTCAATTTTCCGATCAAGACACATCTGTTAGCGCTTCCTCCGATTGGAATGATATATGCGTTATTCGTCCAAATAGAAACATTGGGGAGGAACGAATCGTGCACGGATACTCTCGTTTGACTCATTGTAAATCAATGCGAAACTGTCTTGCACGTTTTGTATCGACCACTTGGTTTTCGCACATTTTTTTTTGTAAAATCGTCCTCATCAGAAAACATTGAATTCTTGAGACGCGAGCCTAGTAAACCATTATTATAATTTTTCGAAATTTATGTTTTGCTAATTTTTAATGCTCATCCAATTATTTGGGAAAAATATCGATACTTCTATTCTTATTGAAGAGCCCTATAACTTTATTTCAAAGCAGAAAATGATGATGATGGAGATTCGCACATTGTCAAACGAATATCCTCAATGTTCCCGATCATGGCACTCACTTCCTCCGATCGGATGATATATGAGTTATTATTTCCTAAAGACTGAGGAACGCGTATGGAAACTCCAGTTTGACACATTGTAAATCATTGCGGATCCATCTAACACCTTTGGCATCGCCGACTCGATTACCCGATATTCGCACTTTGTGAGGTTAATATTGTCATAGGCTACTACCGAAGCGACGTGCCATTACACAGCTCACACCAAGCCAGAAAATATCATTCATCCTCGTTTGGCAGCCTATTAACTGGTCGGTCCACATTTGCTCCAGACCACATTTTCTGTTATTATATTACCGTCATTTAATGTCTTATTATACATTTACTATGACATTTATATTCTTTCAGATCTGCACACTTTTCTCAGCATCCGCTCTTACCCCGTACATTCAAGACCTCTCCAGCACTAAAACCCAATTTCTACCATATAATATATAAAAGGTAAGGTTTTAAATATAAAAAAACATGCAGATCTTTCAAATTTTCGAAAAGAGGCATTCAATCACGGAAAACATAGTTTCAACCATCTCGTTAATAATTTTCAATATATATGTACAAGAAAAATGTAGATAGTGTTAAATAGTCGCTCGCTTGACTCATCGCTATTAATTTTTGCACCCCATCCACTGCGAACACTATACATTTCGCAACGCAAAGCGTGTCTCAATTGTTCTTATGAATTCTTTTTTTTAAATATAAACCTCTCACATATTTGCAAATTTATTTGATGTTTTCAGATGACCGACATGGATAAACAGGGATCCTCAAAAAATGCATGCCGCACTCAGAAAAGAAACAGCGCTCGACGTGCTCAGAAGATCGATAAAAAAACGGCAAATCAGCTCGAAGACCATGAGTGTTCTTTGCCACTCGAAAGAGAAGATACCCAGAATCTTGTAATGAAAGAAAAGTCCCAGAAGAAAAATGAAAAGAGAAGAAGAAGACGTCAGAAAGCGAAGCGCGCTGCCCAGGAAGCCAAGATCCAGGAGCAACACGCTGATCAGGGCTCATCTCAAAAGAAAAGACGGAGACGCCAGAAAACCAGACGCGGTCGTCGAGCGAATCGTCGACAGGATTCAAAAGTGTTGCCAACAGTTTCGGAGGTAATTGTTCATTAACTTAAAGGTTAATAAATTTAGTTGCAGTCTGTGCAGAACAAAGAAGGGACTGTTAACCAGCCATCACCAACTTTTGCGGTATGCTTTTTGCTTATCTAAATATAGTATTCAAATAATAAATTCGGAATTATTACAGGTTTCCGTCTTAGGCCAGTTTTTCGTGTTGCGCAACCGGCCCCCGTATTTTGTTCAGTTGCGAGGCGAAGCGCCACTGACCAATATTCTGCAGGTAGTGTCATATTCAGATATTTGAAGCATGATATAAATTTAGGCTGGAAATTCGCAACAACTCTATGATCTGTTGAGCCGCAGTGTTAAGCTTGCTGAACCGGAGCAGCGTAGAAATTCCGCCATTGATAAAAATGTGATGACAGAAGACGATATTGTGCGGCTCTTGAAGACAGAGTCTGGCGATGCGCCATGGGCAAAGGTAAAGACAATCGATTACATTTAATAAATGGAACAATTTACATTTTTTCAGATAAAATCAAATGCTTCATGCAACTGCCGCGGTCCATCCGACCCGCCACCGCTTTATGCCAGAAAAGGAAAGCGACTCCTTTAAAGAGGCATCCGACATCAATATTTTTTATCCCCTACGCATATCCCAGTATTCATATTCCAGTGTTGCTATTTCGATGAAATAACACATATTATTTTTTTTGGCCCATGCGGCTCATTTTTGCTCATGGTTTTTGAAATGTTTATCTTTTTTGTTCCATTTTAATTAATTCTTGCAAATTTTTGACATCTACCAAATCACGAATTCTAATAAATATTTTAAAAATACGCGGTGTACTAGTTTTTTTTAATAATCAATTCTAGACTTTTCAGTAGTATTTTACAAATAAGGTGCCGCTGAACACAGATCTTATCCGGAAAGAAGGCGACGAGTCAAATGGAAAACTCGAAAAAATTATTCGTTTAATTAAGGTCAGTAACTTATTACTTTATGACGTCTCAATTTTTTTTATGGACTAACTCATACAGTAAAAATGACAAAAAAATGTGAATTACGCATCATCCGGATGTGGGAATTTTGAAAATGTACAATTAAGTTAAATTTATATTTTTTTTTCTTAATTTTTAAGCAAGCAGTAAAACTTGAGTTTAAGTAAGCAAGAATCAAGTTAGATCATCCCACCAAAAACATTTAACTTTTTTAATGATCAATGTAGAACTCTGTGATCGATATTTTCTAAAGTCAACATTCGCCAATGACGCCTACACAACATTTGTAAAACTTGTTTTTTGGACTAAAAATGGATAAACAAATTTTACCAATTAGATATGTATTACTTCTAATTAGATATGTATTACTTCGTTCTCTCAACCTTTAAAGGTATTTAACATTTTTTTTTGAACAACAGCTACATTTTGAACTTCAAAATTGAAAGAATTTTCTAAAGTAGATTCTATTCATAAGACTTTAGTTTGTTCCTCGTTGGCAAACATTCTGACGTGAAATGACAATTTTAAAGTATGTCTCTTCTCTGTTAAACCCATTGTATGTCTATACCGTTCAAAGATTTGCCAAACTTTGAACTACACTGTTTGTTAAATGACGAGGATATTACGCGAACAAATGCCAATCGTTCAAAATGTTAGTTCGTTTTGAATTTGTTAGTTATAAAAATATTAAGGAAATGTAGAAATATATATTAATTTATACGAAATGATAGCAACCAAAAAATCGAAAAAAAAAATTCAAATAAATTTCGTTATCATTTTAGAGTTTCCACTGAGGGTGGCATATAATCGGGAATAAGCTTATCAATTAAGACACTACTCTGAATTTCACAATTGTCATCATTTAAATAAGGGTCATAAATGATGTAATGCTGATTGGTTGAAAAAAATACATATAAGTAAAAATAATATTAAAATAATAAAAAATAATGGTAAAATAGAAAGGCGAAATTAACTTGAAATTTCATCAATACAAAACCATTATTTGGTGGAATAATGATGATGTTGGAAGGGGATTTGTGCAATTCAATATTTTCCGCAGAAAATTATTTTGTGATGTATATTGGTATGCCAAAGCTATTTCAGATATTGCATTATTTAAATTTTCAATTATAACATTAATAGTTTTTTTTGAATGCTGTTCTTTGTAACGTTACATGTTGTTATTTTTTTTACAAAAAAAGCATATTCAACGTTAAATTTTTTATTGAAAATTAATGAACACTATTTTTTCAGCCATCAGATTGCATTTTATCATATCATTTTTCGGCTTAAAATAAATTCTATGTAATTAGCATTATCATTTTTGAGGTGTTCTATGAAATCATTTTTGTGTAACGAATTTCTCGACGTTGATCTGTGAACAAGTGAGCCAACAGTAACGCCCATCAAGTTGTCTAACACGTGCTCGAGTATAAAATAGCTGAAGATGGCCATGAAAAAGGAGCGTCTCGAAAATGAGCTCAGACGATATCCCTACTTTAGCAGAGCTTAATGCTGTTCAAGCGGTTAGTTTCAACGTTTTCAATAAATTGAATCAAAAACACTTTTCAGAATATTTTTTCAACAATACATCCAACGAAAACAGTTGACAATACCATTAGGTATCACTAATTTCATTTAGTCTTTAGTAGTTTGACATTTATAGCAACTTGGATTATTCTGGAAAGAATGAAAAATCTGCGAACGCTTACTTACGATGGAATCTACTTTTCACATTTCTCATATTCTTCTTCATTTCTTCGCCGATTTGGATTCCAACAATTCCAGCATTGAATGTGAGTATTTGTATGCTAATAATATCCATCTGATTACAATCTTTAGGATTTCGCATTAGAAATTGTCATTATCTTCACGATTGTCATTCATTGTCAATGGATAATTGCATTATTCAATAACCTTCGGTATACATACCGATTGAGGAAATACGCCTCCCACAAAATTGAGTTGGACAAGGTCGTGTTCCATGAATAACAATCTCCAATAATTGCAGTATTTTCAGATACCAAATGAATCTGGAATTGTTGTGAAGCATTTAGTTGGAATTTGCGTTTATAAAGAGCCACCTGAACTTTTAAAAGACACCATTGACAGTATTGCATGTCAGCCAAATGCAAAATCAAAAATATCAGTATTCATTGGTATGGAGGAAGGGACTCCCAATAAGGAAGAGGTAATTGTTGGTTAATAAATCTATAATGAACATTAATATGTATTAGAAAAAAGCAATGCTACATGCCACGTATGATTCGAAATTTGAGAGATTTATCGTCACATTCCATCCCCGTGGACTCTCTGGTGATATTCCTGGTAGGTGAACATTTTGATGCCGACTTTTAACTAAGTTATGTTTGCAAAGGGTTATTGAACAACCTCAAAAATTTTGTTGACATGGTCAAAAAATGTTTGGCCAAAAAAGTGCTGTTGATAATATTCAATAGAAGATAGAAACCATGATCACCATGTATATTTCATGTTCTAGGAAAATGCTCGAATTTAAATTATGCCGCTCGATATGCCGTTCAGCTTCTTTGGAAAGACAAGGATTATCCACTTGGAAAAACAGGAAATAATTTTGAATTGCTGGTCACCACTGGCGATTGTGATTCCGTATTTGGAGATCGATATTTCGACGCACTTGAAGAAGATTACTTCAATTTAACCCCAAAGGTACTAAAATATTAATTAATCGTAATTAAAAATGATCATTTTTAGCAACGAACATATACTGTTTGGCAGTCTCCTCTTTTCTACTGTATCAATCTTGACAAATCTCCATTTTTCGTTAGAGTCACGGGATTGATGAGATCGTTCTTCATGATGGGATTCTTGATTCCGTGGAATATCAATACAATGAGCATTTTTTCTTTGACATTGAAGCTTTTCGAAGATGGAGAATACACTCATCCAGGATATCAAATGGAAGATATTATTGCTCTTATTCGCTGGTCCCTTGCTGTTCGGAAGAAGTGTGTGATTCGGATGATCCCGGTAGCAACACTTAGTGGGCCGACGAGTGGAAAGAACTACGTTGATGAATGGTATGAATGGGCGAGACAGATCAGGCGGTGGACAATTGGAGCAGCAGAAGTAGGGAAATCAATTGAGCACTAAAATATAATTTGTTCTATTTTAGGTGTTTCATTATTTTGCCATCAAAGCCTTCAGACTCCCAATGGGAGTTTCTATTTCATTCGCATTCAAATTCGTCTTTTATTACGGATTTCTTCTCTGCATTGCTTCGGTCTACGGAATCGTTGCACCTCTTGTGGTATTCAGATGTCAAAATAATTCCAGCGCAACAAGAATTTTCAGACTCCCGCAATGCTGAATGCGGTTGATCATGGTGCTCATGGACTTGTTGTTCCAAATAACAAGTGTTTCACCATCATCATGTTCAGTTTCCTCGGTCTGCAATACCTTTTCTTCGCTGCAGTCGTTGCCATCAACTATCTGTGTCAGCCAGTTTTCCCACGACAAACCAAAGACGAAACCGGGATAATTCGAAATTTTTTCCACTGGATTATGATGTGGCCAACATTGGTCATGTACTGTTGCGTTGAGCTTGTTGCATTCCTTGAGGTTAGTATATAATTCTTTACTCTACATATTATTCATGTTTTTCAGTTAACCATTCGAGGAAAATCAGTATGTTCACATAGTGCATCAAAGAAAGACAACCTCATAGCTCCAACACGCATTAAAGCCATATCAATGGAAGTGTAACAAAGTTCATAATTTCTTAACGAGCTACGGGTTCTTGCTAAATATCTTTTTGTAAAAATTAGTGTAATTTTGAACATTGTGAATTTTAGACTTAGAACAATAAACTAGGACATAATGAATTCCCTTTTTTTCATAGTTGCTTTATTGCCTCAACGGATACCCCGAAGAAGCTGTCCAAAAATTACGTTTTCGACACTTTCTATTGAAAGGTCGGAACTCCAAATTACCTTGTGTAACTGGGTTAAAACCGACGAAGATGGCGAAACGACGCTCTATGTGCGAAATCATGTGCGGACAAAAAAGCAGGACACTTTACTCGCAAGTTTTAGAATGTAAAATGGGGAGACTCAGAGAAACGATGAGAAAGTGGGAAAATGGAGGAGTGTTTAGAAAGCGATGATCGGCATATTCTTCACTTCTTGCATGGCATATTTATTCGATGAAATTTAAAAGAAGAAAATCATATGTGAAATACCTGTACATAACGGAAATTTATAGCTATGCAAATAGATATTCAATGGTTACTATAAGATCTAATTTTTAATTAACAAACATATTTGACTTGTGAGATAAAAAAGTTTTAGGCTTTTGTACAAATACATAGTTTCAGAAAATTATTTAATTAGATTATTGTTTATAAGGAATGTCCATAATCAATAATACTTGGAAAATTGAAAAAACTTGCGAGAGAAATACAAAAGGGGACCGCAACGCGACAGCGTGCGATATATCGGTTATATATTCACACACAGCCTAGCGTTCATGAGGAAAGAGCGTGGCGCAGTGGAAGGGTGCTGGGCCCATAACCCAGAGGTCGGTGGATCAATCGTTTTAATAGCTGAATTGAAATTTTAGAACTTTCAACTTTAG